CCGACATTAATCTCTTTTAAAAGTCACGGAATAGAGATCTACTATGTAACGACCTCGTAAAGTCATAAAACAGACACCTACTGCACCCGTATGTAAATCGGTAAAAACTGCTAAAAATAAGATGTTTTGTTTAGACGCATTAAACTGACATTCATGTCCCCCAGAATATATTTCACTGTAGGTGTCAAAAACAAATTCCTGTTATTTATATCGACTCCTGGGACTCTTAGCTTGTTCCATTGGCACGGCCAATAGATTCAGATTTGCACTTTTTTTTCAAGTCACACCCATCACGATATTAATACTACGTTCCTTTTTAATCTTTTCTCACACTCAAGAACACATTCACGCTTGTAATCAATTTGATTACCCGGATAATGCTTAATCACTAACAAACACGTCACTTAATTCCCACTTACATCAAAGTGGCATACTGTACAAGATACATGAATAAATATACAAATAAATAATATATGCACATTTCAGGTATAAACATTTGCAAAGAGTTGTTTACTTTCGTTGCTGTCGTAACTGGTACTTTTTTTTTAAAAAAAAATACACGAATAACTTACAGGCAAGCAGTCAAATCTCGAGGCTCTGTGAAATGTAAACGGGAAACTAAAAAAGGTAAAACCAATATTAAAATATTTTCTCTGCGTGACTGGCGAAACTGCCGAGGCACGGTCAAGCTGTTGGTCAAGGTTCGACGGTCACATACTCCGAGCGCGGTTCAACTGTAGTCTGTATCAAGTAAGCAAGATTGCTTCACTTCGGGTTTGAACCAGACGTCTCAAGGAATGAAAAGGGCAGACACCACTTAATGGTACCTGCACCTCGTTGTGGTGGTGGGGCTTGACCCCAAGAGCTACTGGTAGGGCCTCCCTAGCCAGATTGGTCGAGGGGGAGAGGTCAGACTAAGACAGGTACCCTGGTCCTCCAGGTTGGGGGTTGGTCGCAAGGCTAATAACCTTGCACCATAATAAGGAAGATGTTTCGAAACCTCGGTCAAAGCCTCGGACAGACGGACCTAACAGAGGACCGAATTTAAGAGGAGAATTGAGGAGGCCATGGGCAGAAGAAGAAGAAGAAGGAGTAGGAGGAGGAGAAGGCGAAGGAGAAATCCATCAGCAATTGGCTGTCAAGTAGACCGAGATGTTTAAAAGCAGCTGAACCAGGGTTGTTGATGCAGACAGGTCAGGACACCTAACCACGTCCACTAACAAACAAAATACAGAGTACACACGAGGAATGATTCCCAAAAAACTGTAGGGTGACTAATGTGGAAACATGCAAGGCTCGGCATTAATGCGACCATCTTTATGCCACACTCACTCGAAACAGATGGACAACTGAACCACTCACAGTGTGCCACAGTCCGACTTTGAGAAAAAGTATGATCACGCCTCAGTAGTGCTGCCAATCATACAACAAAAATATTCCAGTATTGCTCGTACTCTCTGAATTTCGCTCACGTTTGTAGATGACAAATCTAATGTACTGCAATACAATATCTTGCGATATTTTGAATAGCTTAACATTTTGTTGTGATTCCCGGTTAGCAAGAAATTAAAGTAGGTAACATCACGAAACTGATCACGATTGCAAAAAAAATTGTGGATCAAAAGACGACGAAAGTCGACCAAGGAACTTTCAACGTAACGTGAGAGTCACTAAGTTAATATAAGAATGAGCAAGTGTTATCATCCTGATCAGACCAGCAAACATTACAAAAGAAAATTCTGTAGAAGTCTGTAAGAAGCCCAAATCACCGTCGTTATCGTAAGACATAAAAGTCTATTAAAAGTACCAGATCACGATACTATTTATTTAGAGATTTTTTTAATCACAGAAGTAACAAAAAACTCGCAACAAAAGCTGATGGTACTTAATTCTTGGGCAACGTAATCAAATGCCTGAACACGATTAAAGTGGTGTTCGCCGATAGTTCATCTGAAATCGAAAAAACTAATTTATCAATTTCAAACTCTACGAAGGTGTGAAGTGTTCTGATAATATCTGCCGTAAATATTTAAACTACTTTACTCTTAAGTTACTTTTCAGTACAAGACGATAACTTGAAACACTTTCAACTAACAAATTAAAAACAAACTTAGCGTCATTTCACGAAGCAGCACTTATTTCAAAGACGCCCCTCTTCAAAAATTTTACCATTAATATACATAATATATACAGTATAAGATTGCCATAGTGCGGTACACTGATTGAAACTCTACCGATTGTTTGTACTGCATGTCGGCGACATAGCTGGCAAAGTCCGCTATGTGATGGGTGAGAATGGCTTTATAATTATACCATCGGCTGACAGCGCGAGCAAAACGAAAGTTGCAAGTTCCATTAAATACTAAAAATAAATAATGTTTCGAAGAGGTAACTGCAATTTAAGAAATTTCATCTTTCATCCGTACATTCCATAAATGTTGGTATGTGCGATTTCACGTGACGCGGTCCGCTGTCTACTACGTTACACGCTTCTATCACTTACCGACCACCAGCTACGAAGAGTCTAACTTCAGCCGAGTGCTAACAGTTAATTCAAATAAGAGTCTAGAATCATTCATAAGAGCAGTTAACGGCAAATTACCTATATTATAAGAGGTGCGAAAACGCTGTCCCTGTAAATGCACGCTCTCAGAGTGAGGGCTATAATAAGAAGTTTGTGAATAATTTTTAGAATTTATTGATGATTATAAAATTCCGATATCTTGTGCAATATATATCAATAACTGCTAAGGTGAATATTCTAGCCTAGCCTTTAATTTGCGCACTTTTCTTCAGATTTTCCACTTTTAATGTGAACCACACACCATTTTTTTATTTCATAAATTCTCATTATATTGAGGTTCCACTATATGCTGATCTTTTTTCACTCGCTACGATAACAGTTACTTGACGAGCTATTCATTATGAAAGAAATCTGAAATATACCTACTCATGTAAGCGGGATTCATTTTAGTGTCATTTGCTGCCTGCGCTTGGTCCGAGTCATATCACGACAGCTTTCAGCCGAAGTTAGACTGTCACTCGACAGTAGTCAGAAAGTAACGAGCATTAAAATTATTGCAAAAGACGTGAAGTAAAATATGGCACATTAAAAAGTAAAGTTTGTCCTGCTACGTGCCATACAGGCACTTGGGGGGGGGAGTGGAGGTATAGCTCCTACTATTCCTTGACCTCTGCACTAGATGGGGGTCAGCATCACGCCCCGGCCGGCTTTACCCCCGGGAAAGGACCCCGGTACCCATTGTATAGGCTGGGTGGGCCCCAGAGCCGGTCTGGACGCAGAGGTAGAGGAAAGATCCTCTGCTCCCATCGGGGATTGAACCCCAGTCGCCAAGCACGTAGTCAGTCACTATACTGACTGAGCTATCCCGGCTCATCCTGAGTGGTGTACTCAAGTAATTAATTAATAATGACATGAGATTCTGATGTCAGACATTAATTTATATTTAGACAAAGATAAAAATAATTTAAAAGTCAATTATATCAAGAAATTGACCCCAAAATAATTCCATAATTGCAGTCAAACCTCACGATGTGATTGCTGGGCACCATACAGAAGTCGGTGTGGTTAACACGGAGTCTGGGCACAATTCGAAAATACGTGCGCAAATGTTTCCACGTTCTTTGCGCACAGAATAACATTACTCAAACGGGCTTAAAATAATTCCAGCAATATAATTATATTAGGTGTCGGTGTTTTTCGCTTTAAGAATGAAGAATTTAAGCACGGTGCATCTTGCGTGATGAATATGGGGCATGGAGGTTTTGATTAGCTTCTGTAAGCGAGGTTATTATAGGAAGAATACTATTTTAATATTGGCAGTTTGCAAATATGCAGACCCTTAACATTTTTGGAATATCATCATTAAAATGTAATGGAGGTTAGAAATTATTACCATCCAGCGACGTGTAAAAGTAAATTTTGAAAATGACAACGTACGATAACACGCTATTTCCACACCACTGGGAGAAAAGTAAGGCGATGACAAATACACGACAAAAATAGAACTGAAATGTGCATGATTTTGTCTTCGATCACAACAATTTATGCAACTTACAGCTGTAATTTAAAAAAGTAACCTAAAATCAGACTGAGTAACTTTTTTGCAAGTAATTTACAAAAGATAAAAAAAAGCATCTGTGCTCCTGTGAGACCCGATAATTAAACGTCCGTATTGTACAATAACTACAATAAATCTGAAAGCCTGACCTTCAGCCTGTTGTTCAGTGTCAAATTTTGCTTTAATTCTTATGAATCTATTATCATTATTTGTCCCGCGCCGTAGCCACGCGGTCTGAGTCATCGTGCTTCGGACCAGCGATACGGAATGCGCGCTGGTTCGAGTCTCGGGGGAGAAGAAATTTTCTCATGAGCTTTTGACCAGTGTATTGGACCGGTGCCAACTCAGCATCGTGAGGAAATTGGGGAGTTACAATGGGTAGCATAATCCGGTCATGAAATGGGGGTCCGTCATGCTGACCACACGTCACCCTATATCTGGTCGGATAATCGTTCACCTCTGCTTAGGCATGTGAACGTGAGGCCAGCAGTCAAGCTAGTCTGCTTTGGCTCTCTGGAGCTGTTACGCCACAGATTTAATTTTTAATATATACACACCTTACTTTTCCCACGTGTTAAAAAATTTCTGAAATCAGTAGTTATAGTACAAATTTTAAATGAAAAAAAAATGATCAGAGTCTACATTTGCCTGCCAGTACTTATTCTACCTATGTTTCACCCGCCCACTTGGGTTTCCGTAGTACTGATCCAGCCATGACATCACTTACGCAGACTGTCCTTGCTGCTGGCTAGCGAAGTACTAGCGCTGCTCTGGCTGTGCTGTTCTCCACCACTGCCACTGCCACTACCACCCTCGCCATTAAGAGTGCTAGAGCCACCTCCACCACTACCTCGCATCGCTCGTCGCATGACCGCCAGCTCCTCCACCAAGGTAGGTGTGGGGGGAGCACTTCGTCCCTTTAACTTGCTCAGTACCTTGTCCAGACGATGCGAGAACAGATCTACGTCCGACTTACGCATTCCAAGGGCAGCTGCTGCTGTGAGGTATGGTACGGGGTAGCTACTGTTATGAGCACCCCAGCCTAAATGACAAACACGAACTCATTACGATAAAGAATAAATTAATTAAATCTAAAAACTGACGATAAGTATATTTTCTACCTTCAAATTTATATCCTGCTACTTCTTTAAGGTCTGCTCCAGTAACCACTCGTGTTCCAGAGACACAACGCAGAAAGAGCATTGAGCCAAGCATGGTCACCGTTTTGCTGTCAGAACCAGCTAGAGAAGAAAGTGTCATGCCTGCATAGAAAAATGTGTTTATATTAACAACGGAATATACTACTAAATGCAAGCAGACATGTTTTGAGAATATCTTTTAAAAAATATATGAGATATTCGTAAGCCCGTCTTCATGATACTTTTAAAGCATACCAACTCTTATATGGATGGAAACATGAGAGGCAAATTAAAATAGTAGAATATAGTTCCAGTTTTGTACTAGTCTAATTTCTAACTTACTTTCCTTTTTCTCATGGTACTTGTGGGTTATCGGGACACATCACATTAAAAATAGGTTAGGTTAGGTTAATGTGTGTGGATAAATGATATATACTTGAAAGTTATTATATTTTATTTCAATAAATGACAAACTATTATATATTAGGATATGCATGAGATGTTAATTGTTGTTACAATCTGTCTCCGGAGGCCAAAATTCGCATATAGATTTTAGAATCGTTATAAAAATATCGCTATCACTTGTACGCCGCCACACGAACTCAGCTAAATATGAATCCAGATGATGTCGGGCCATGCCTCTCTGTTTTGTGTCCCGATAACCCACAAGTACCAAACATACTTATGAGATCGCCATGCTACCTGTCCATAAAGGTACCCATTTACTGACTCTGTGCCTCCTCCTACTTTAGGAGAAGAAATTTCATACTTCAGGATTTAACTGTGACAAGTTTACTCCCTCTACATTTTAGCCAATGAGAAATGTCCCATCACATGTCATCTGAACTTCCTCTTCAGTAAAGTACAGCAATTTCCAGAAGCCTCTGTTATGATACAGAAACAAATTTTGTTCTTCCACACAGGTAAACCATTTCTCTCGGACGGTTCACACGTCGCAAACTGCTCATACTGCTATTTGACACGATGCTGATAACTTACCTACAAACAATGTAAAAGGAGCAATATTTCTATGCCTTCTGTTGTACGAACGGTAATCTGGTAACACGGAAGTGTGATTAGGGCTAATTCCAGATAATGGCGTTGTTACACCATGGTAAAGCGGCCCATCCATGTATGAGTCTGGCTTGTGAGTCTGGTCCACCGAGCCAAACTCGTTTGTGGGTGGGGTGTCACAAGTTGAGTCTGCTACGCATGTGTGGTGAAATATATCTGAGCCCGGCTCACGAGTCAAGCTCGCCAAGCCAGACTCGCAAGTCAGACTCGTATGCTAATAGGCTGCTTAAGAGGAGAGATGACTGCCATCAGATATGCATGTGTCAAATTATCTCCTGTGGCTGGCAGCCGAATGTGAAATGACCGTGTCACAATGGCGTATATAATGGCAGCACAGACCCCTTCATGGGCAGCTAACTCTCTGTCTTACAGTGCACATCACAGCAAATACATTTGAAGAAGTCTACAGTTTGTTTTATTGTGTACTGTGTCGCCTGGCTAGAAAATGGAAGCTGAAAATGCTTCTGTGGATCTTCTTTGTGTTTAATTTAAAAGGTGTCAACACTCATTATGACAATGAAAAAAGTGCTCAGTCCTAAATATCAAGTGATACCCTTGTGAACATGTTCTGGCTGTTATGCTCACAGCGGGAATATTCTCCTGGCTGAGAGCGTAACAATGACGGTAGAACTGGGCATACACGGAAATACAATATATGCAGAGCATGTCCTGAGATGCAAGATATTAGATGTAATGACTTTCTGCGGAGGATTGAAAGCTTTGCTTTGTTAGGGTAGTACAATGTCATCGTTGCAAAAATGCAAGAAGAAATTATAGAAAACAAAGAGATGAGAAATGTTTGCAAATTCTTAGAAATACCTGGAACTGGGAAATGTCAGAAAGATTAAAATGAGGCATAATAATTGTTATTAAAATACTCATTACCCAATGATATTGGATTGTTCTTAGTTTCTAGAAGTCTTTCCCCATGTTTAAGGGCAACTTTGGTGAGTTCCTCTTTGAGGTAGATGTACATCTCTTTCCGTTGAGTGATGAGATTCTTGTATCCGTTCACTCCAAGCGAGAGAAGTGTTATAAAAACATCCATAGCCGGGCTGGACGAAGCTCGACCTACATGAAAGAAACTATTCATAATTTTTTTTATATTTTAAATAGCTGTCACACCACAATATTTAAAGATTCCATGTTAAATGACTTGTGCTGTTTCACCTCAGATATCTGCAGGGTCAACTTGTTGGAAATGTTAAACGTAAGAAGTATTAAGATGGAGTGAGCTTCGATGGTATGGCTTTTTATGATCCCCAATATATAGAAATATTTTACAGAATTACTTGTTTATTAGACCCTGACTACTGAGGGGACAGCATAGTCTCAAAAATACAGGGCATTGACTGTATGTAAATATATAAAATAATTCAATATATGTAAATCAAAGAATAAACATTCATACAATAAAGTTCTCATACAGACAATACCAACAATTTCTTCAATTAAAATACCATTCACATGGAAAACCAAAAGAAATATTACAATAACAGACTACATACTTAAGATAAAAAACTGGAAAATATAATAAAAGACATGAGTATATCTGGTGGACATGCCGTGGATTTTGATAATTATAACAACGCAACACATTTTACATGATTTGATAATATGCATGAAATAAAGATGCTTTTTACTAAATGAGGTACGCCGATCATAGAAATTACCGTTTCTTTAGAATTTTATAAAATTTAAACACCAAAGCTTAGACAGGAACACATTTAATGCAAACAACATTTTTGAAGGAGCAGAAAAGTTTACAAAGAAATCTTAATTTACTTAAATTAACAATGGATTAAACTGAATGTGATGCAGTGGTTAGCATTTCTGCTTCATACTCAGGTACCAGAGATTTCATTCTTGAGCTTGGAATTTTCTTCAGTTCACCTTGCTTACATCCTTCACTTCATTAAGCATCAAAATTAGTTTAAGTTTTTCTTTAATTTAAATTTATTTCTTACCTCATTCTTAAGGATAAAATTTGGATCAACAGAAATAAAAATAAATTAAATATACCTGGATACATCCTAGATATTCGTTCCACAAGACCTTTGTCAAACCCAGCAATAACTGCACCTCCCACAGGTACTAGAAAGTTCTTATCTGTGCTCTGTACAAAGGCATCTACTCTTCCTTTCCTGAAAATAGAACATACTTTTTGAACTTATATCAGCATCATACAGACGAATCAACGGATTCCTGAAAAAATCCAAATATTTAAAACTAGTTGTCATTCCCAGAAATTGTTGAATTGCATATTTACACATTTATTTTTAAATGTGAATATAATACACACATACATTTTTGAATGACAATAAAAGTAAAAAAATTCCATAATTCCATACAATATTTAATGTGGGTGTTTACTAAATAAATTTATATCTCTCAAGTGATACTGTATAATGTAATAAACAGGAATCACAATAAAATCAGAACCTACTGGTGGACTTGCAGAGGATACTTATTACCAATTTAAATATACACACCAGCAAATCAGATTACACTGGAATTAACATCACAACCCAAGGATCGACAAATGACTGTTCTGTATGTACTCTGTTAGAGAATGCATTATATATAGCTTGCAAAAATCTTGTGTTACGCGGATAAATTAAAAAATAAATAAATCCGTGGCGTAACAGCCCTCTGAGAGCCAAAGCTGACTAGCTTGACTGCTGGCCTCACGTTCACATGCCTAAGCAGAGGTGAACGATCATCCAACCAGATAAAGGGTGACGTGTGGTCAGCACAACAAACCCCCATTTCATAACCAGATTACGCTACCCATTGTAGCTCCCCAATTTCCTCATGATGCTGGGTTGGCACCGGTCCCATACACTGCTCAAAAGCTCATGAGAAAATTTCTTTTCCCCCCGAGACTCGAATCAGCGCGCATTCCGTATCACCGGTCTGAAGCATGATGCCTCAGACCGCGCGGCTACGGCACGGGACACGCAGATAAAGTCCTTTGTAATAAAAACTCAACATCAAATATCAATTCAAATTTTAGGTGTTCTAAAGTTTGAATTAAGCTACTACATTTGCATTATACAAAACTGAAAAAAAAAAATCAGGAATCAAATTACCTGGCAGCCTCCTGAATAAGATGCATACAACGAGAACTCTGGAGTCCATACGCGTTGTTGATAACGTGAGGAATGTTGTACCTACTACAAAGAACTGCTACTTGCTCCACTGAATCACTAGCCCTGGGAGCAAAACAACTGGTGGTGGTAAGAACACAAGCAATGTTCTCAGCTCCCAGTGTTGCCATTTGATGTTCCATTGCTGTGAGGTCTGTCCGAAGCTCATCACCGCACATGACGGTTTCAATGATGATTGGCTGAAGACCTGTAAAGTTTACAAAAACATAACTCTAAAATGATAAGCAGCAGCCATCATTTAGAATTGTGTTACTATTTCAAAAATAAACTCTTCATTAAATTATTGCTCTAATTAGAATTATTCTTCTTCTTTTTCTGGTTTAACAATGTTTGTACATTTTCCGGTACCCTTTATGGGTCCCCAACTTTTTTCAGTTGCCTTGATCTATGGACATTCGGTAGGACTCCTTGGAGGAGGGATCGGCCTGTCACAAGGCCTTTACCTGTACACAGGACAGGACAACACAACACAGAAAAACATCCATGGCTTGAGTGGGATTTGAACCCACGGTCCCTGCGACCAAGCGGCACAAGACCCATGCCTCAGACCGCGCGGCCACTGCGGAGCCCCTAATTAGAATTATAAATATATAAAATTTAAAATATTGTCACAGTTGGCAGGTTGGTTGATAACACACTCAGTTGCACGGGCGATTTAATATTGAATGACACATAATTGTAGTTGTATATGGTGGACTGGATAGAACTGCGTCGGTCGTGATTTATTGCAAAGTATTATTGCTGCATGTGCCTGTACGGATAAGAATACACATTTTTGGTAAGCTAATATTTACAAAGAAACTAAGTGTGTTCTCTGACACACTGTAACATTTTAAGCATTCCCAAATGACTTTCTGATGAATTTTCAAATGTAACATTCTAAAACAAGAGTTGGTAATCAATAAATGGATGTTAGCATGCCAACAACCATTAAACGATATCTATAGACATTGACTGACCTAAGTGGGACAAGAAATATGATCTATGGAACTAGACATGTACCAACCTGCAGTAATGATACATTTGAAACATGCTTTTTGGTCAATCCTAGACCACAAAACAAACTTTGCATCTGGTCGATCCTGTTTCAGCGTTAACATACAAAGCACCAGGCTCATTCCGGTAGCCATGGGAACAACGAAGCATCCTGCAGATGTCTTCACACCTATCAGGAAGCGTTAATTACATATCAAATACAAAGTGTGCTACTGTACATCTTTTGAAATTAGAAGGTGAATGTACAAATAACAAAAGCATAGTAAACCCTTGTCCGATGCACGCTCACCTAATTTGCAATTTTATTATAAATGCAAAAACAAATGTGAAAAATTATTTGCTGAAAGCAAAAAATTTGAATATACTGTTTACTAAACATGACTTAGTACTGTACATGCCATAATGAGCTTTAATCCATGACGTTCCTCAGCATCCTCTGTGAAACTGTGTTTGACTGGTTTGCTGTTTTGTAATTACCCTCAGACAGCAGAACAGTATCAAAACTATTTACCAAACTGCTCACAGTTTTGTTGTTTTTATTTTCATGTTTTCATCTTATATGCTGTACGGGTAGGGCCACCCATTTGTATTTAAAAAAAATGTACGCATGTACAGACTAATGGGAAACATTATGCAGTTGTGTTCACATATCCAAACTTAATCCATAAGGTATTAAGTTTGTCCAACACCTAATGTGCCAATTTTTTATTAAACTATTCCCTGCATTTGACAAGGGCTTATTGTAACAAGCTAAGAAAGCGAGTTCCATATTAGAAAAAACGATATCCTCCGCAGCCCATAATGCAATCTCACTATGCACTTTGTGCAAAGAACACATAATATGCACTCTGACTGATGGCTCTTACAGTTCTGTGTGAAGCAAATGGCTGATGCACAAATCTTTTTCAATATGTAATACTCAAGATCTTTAAATGGGGGATAAAATACAATAATATAATGACAATTTCTTCATTTGTTAAATTAACATTTCACTATATACAGCTGATCAGATAACGAACACTGCATAAAACTCCATACCCATGAAGCGAATGACATCAAGCACCAACGAGTTTGTGAGTTTGTTCATAAGACTAGAACCAGCTGCTTTTGGCTGTACCTCCCCCAGATCTCCTGACCGGCCAATTCCATGTCCGATCCTATAGTGACGTCTTGCAACCAGGGCTGTAATCATGAAATATAACAGCATGTAAATAAATACGGTCCCCACTTAATGGTACCTGCACCTTGTCGTGGTGGTGGGGCTTGAGTACCTTAGTGACCCCGGGAGCTATGCTGGCAGTAGCATAGCTACTGGTAGGGCCTCCCTAGCCAGATTGGTCGAGGAGGAGAGGTCAGACTAAGACAGGTACCCTGGTCCTCCAGGTTGGGGGTTGGTCGCAAGGCTAACAACCTTGCACCGTAAAAAGGAAGATGTTTTGAAACCTCAATCAAAGCCTCGGACAGACGGACCTAACAGAGGACCGAATGGAAGAGGAGAATTGAGGAGGCCATGGATGGAATACGGACCGGAGAGCCATAAAAGAAGAAGAATCATCATAAATCTATGTAACGTATCCACATACAATCAGATGAAGAGGTAAGAATGACTCAGAGGCCAGGTGAAAGAATCTTTCCTCGAGACACTGTAGTAGACAGTGGGGACTAAATATTTAACAGTAAAACGTACATATTGCTTACCGCATTATGAAAACAGTGCATATTCTTTGAAAACAAAATAATGTACGATAATTTAAAACGACCACAGGGAGTACACGTGCACAGAATTTAAAAATAGGTAAAGTAAAAACTTTATTCCTTACCAGATGCAATTCTTGCTTCTCTTTCGCCTATACCACAGTTTCCGGGGAAGTTATTGCTGTCCATTTGAGACAGATCAGCTAGAAACAGTTCAACTGTTGTGTCATCCCAGCCTTCCTCTGGCCATTTTCTCTGAAACGTGACAATCAGAGTCAAACTTATTAGCAGAAAAAGAACTGCTTTTCCATCCATCAGTAAAGACAGGACCTACAGATGTCACAGTATCAATACGTTGCACACATTATTTTAACAACAAGAGTAAGGAAATGAGGAATATGGGGAATCAGTAAATGCTCTGGAGTTACATTTGAGAAGTACACAATCTGAATTCTGGCCATCCACTGCGACCTCCTGTGCTTTATCTCGGTCTCTGCACACCAAAATCATGCCTTTCCAAACCTTACTTAAGCACGTGAGATTTAAAGTACACACGGCGGTAAGTATAAAGACAACTGTACAAAACAGTCATCTTCTTACCAGCACACAATTCATGACCATCTTCCAATCTCATTTCATGCTACATGTTAGGATATGAACTGTAGACACTTTTTAATATATTTTAATTGCATGTATTGTGACTGATCACAAAAGGTTAAGGAAGTAAGATACAAACTGCAAAATCATCATGGAGAAAATCATACAATTTAATGTAGAATACAAGTGCTGGATGAACAATTAATACTTCCTTTATCAATTTACAAACCATTAGCTCCCACGGTATCAATACCATAAATATGCACAAAAAATAAAAAAAAGAAGAATATGTAATACCACATATATTTTAATGAATCTAAATTAAATGCAACTTTTACTGATACAAAATATAGGCAGGACTTCAAGATAGTCAAATACATCCACTTCATCTTGAGCTGTATATTCAATTGAAATAAATTTCCACACAGTTCAAAATTTTATAACTTAATTAACGTAACTTAAAATTAAGCTAATCTGAAAGACATGTTCCAAAACACATATAAGAGTATAACTTAAAATGGTTACTGCATTATAAATTAACAAAAACAAAAGAAACATAGCTGTTTAGAGATAATTCTACTGATGAATGTTGCAGTATGACATCAGAAACTCATATTTTATCATTTTATTCAGTAAACATAGCGACAGCAGACCTATAAAAACAAGATAAAGATATCACTATAGAAATTAATCTTTTATGGAAGTATAAACAGTGTTCAATAAATAACATTAGAGAATATATTATACTTGTATTTATTACTTCAATACATCTGTCAGCCAGCAACTGTGACACTCACAGGAACACAAGGAAAATGTCTTCTGCATCCCAAAATACACATCAAAACAATCCACACATCCTTTAAGTCTTAAACTTCTATCTATGTGGAATGTGCCATGTTTTCACTCTTATTGATCCACCATATAACACAGAACTTGGACTTACAAAGTATGTGGCAATGGCATAGTAAAACTAATCTTTATGACCTGTCCAGTGTCATAGTTCTTCATCACAACATTTCAGAAATTGGTTCCATTTTATCAGATTACAGAATAATAAGAGAAAACCTACTTTGCTGAATTTTAACGGCTAATGCTTTGTATTAGATTCATCGATACTGTGACAGAACCTTAAAAAAATCATAACATGATCCTTTCACATCCTTACCTACATACCATTCAACAGTATAAATCCTACAGCTGAAATAGTATAAGTGAGTAGGCATTAATCAATTGGCAAGACCGTTACATTTCTGTAAATGTACTTAAAAATCCACAAGCACTCTGCTTGTGCCAGAAGATTCTGTTTGCACCCACTAAGCTCAGGAATTTCTAAAATGAGACCCAAGCCAAGCCAGGAATGTTCATAACACCCATACCAAGTATAACCCAACTGGACATCAAAGGTACATAATATGGTTTTCAGTTTGTACTGTTTGATTCTTTTACAACACAGTTCATAAATGGTGCTCTTTATTTTCTTACACAGAAAATTGTGAAGCAAAAAAAAAATCACCTGATCAATACAACCAAAACAACAAATACAAACACCACACTTCAACTGTCTGCATTAAAAACTCATATCACATATGCTACGCAGACTGTTAGATCAACTGCTCATGTTAGAAAAACCACAACACAATTTAAACAATATTGCACTATTTCACAGGAAAACTAAACATCCAGAACGTATCCAATAAACAAAAATTGTGTGTAAGACATCATCTTGTTACAAAGGATACATCTTTATGTTTCATACCAACAAACCCACCTGTTCTATAAGCTGTCGTATAAGACTCTCTCGAGTTTTCTTTGCTGCTGCTGCCTGCTGCAGGTAGGTTGCTGGGATAAGTCGCTCAGCTAAAGTAAAACTGTGGCTGTTCATTTTACAATGTCGACCTAGACAGCAAGCAGCTGCTCAATCACTGAACTGTCAACATTTCTGAAATTAAATTTGCAACTTGGAGCTCTTAACACGTCAATCGGTTAAATCCTAAAAAACTATATTACAAGGCAGAACTTTATACATAAAGTTGCCTAAGTGTATATGTTTATATAAACCTGTACATAAGACGAATAAATTTGTTTATTACAACAGTAAAATTCACAATAATCCTTACCGGTAATCTCTCGCAATTCACCTTGCTGTTTCATCTTATTGCTTTAAAACACCCGCAAATCCATCAGAAAAAACTGTTAGTATAAGGATTAGATACTATGATTATGATAAATTATCTCTCTTTTCTAAGCCAGGCCACGAAATGTCAGGCACTTACCATTCATTCCACGATCCCACTACAATCGTAACACACGAAAAACCCGTATATACGCTCTCTGCTTCTTCAGATGTTTCCTTCAGAAGTTCAAAAGTCCATGTCCAGATGTCGATCGTCATAAGTACGTTCATTTCGACCGCACGATTTAAAAGGGCTAACCATTTGCATGAAATATTTCCATTTATTCCGTGACTAATTCTGCTGTCTTACTAATGGAGATAAACACAAGAGATATATGCAAATTTATTATGGCATACAAAAATGTTTTGCAAAACATATTTTGCTGTAATGAAAAGAACATGCACACAGTAGCCATGAAAAAACATCTTGTTTTGAGCATTGTTGAAACAAACAAGCACGTCATTATTACATTTCCATAGAAACAAGAGTGTTGCATTAAGCATTTATATGAAAACTATGTTACGGTTAACTTCTTCATGATGAGAACTGTTATATTTATATCGACTGCGCTTCTTGCATTTCTGATACAAAATGTGGAATCAAGAGCTATCAGGGCTGCTTATCGCAATCCAGAAGAAAACAGGTAAGTTCAGTAATTTTAAACCATTGGAGTATTATTGTGCAATTAAGCATTTTACACATAACCACAACATGAATAATTGTAAATAGAATGTAAATTTATGGAGCACATACAAAGCCATTATAATTTATCTGTATTCTTTATTAAACCACTTCTTAAACTGTAAATTTAATGAGCAAAATATAAGACTAAGATTATGGTAGGCACAGTAACAATTTGTTCAGTCTGTGATTCTGCTGCATTTTATCATAGAAAGAGATTTATAGACCTTAAAACAACCACCTTTCATACAATTTCATTAACCCCAATTCGGTACAAAAATGTGTGGTTATTTCATAAATCATCTGAATATTATGCTTGCTTGATGTCAGAAGTGTATTCAGATTTTATATTTTAAAATTGTCTTCAGCACAAATTTGATCATAGTCTATTTTCATTACCAAGAGGATTAACGGATTTTGTGCATATAGTTATTGAACTGCCAGATCAAAATATTGCTGTTCTTTGATCTTCAAATGCATTTGTGCCACAAACAATAAGCATATATGTTCTTTTAAATACAAGTATTAATATTCAGATAGGTATGTACCATGTAAATTATTACATTTCTCAACACTACCATTAAATATAATTTACTTCCCACTTAAATCAGCTGCAGGCAGTTTGTGTTCTAACATTAAAAACAAAGCAAGATAAGAAATATGACAATACTGGATGGAATATATTTAAAACAAATACATCAAAAGTGATTAAGAAAACCAAATCACAGTTGGTAACATGATGAGTTCTGTTCTTCTAAGCATGGGGCCATGCAGTTCAGAATAATGTTAACATGGTTTAGACAGGAGAGGATCTGGAGATAACTGTGGCTCCTTACAGTCAGTATTGACCTTCTTAGACCTTCACAGTTGTCAGAGCAAAGACCCATAATAACTGATGTTTGTGAGAATGCTGCCCAACACATGGGCACCTGGATACATGTACTAAGTGATATTTGATTTAAATGTACACAACAAAGCCCTTGTTTTGAAATGCTTCTTGTCTTATTAGTCACCCAATACATCTTGTTGATGGAAGAACCTAAAACATCACAATTTAAATCAACTTATCATGTGGTTTCTGTTCACAGAATAAATGAACCTGCTCAATACAGAGGAATGTGGTCAGTGCCTAAATTTGGAACCAAATATCAAGCCCCAAATATGCAGGAAGAAGAGAACAGGAGAATTGAAAACAACATCCATTCTCGAATTGAAGCTTTGAAAAATACTGTAAAAAGAGAAGTTGCCGAAGAGGAAAGTATGAGAAGATATAATTATAATAACGACATTAGCAGGACAGCAGAACAATCCTTATCAAGCAATAATGATGCAGGCAACAGCTTCAGTTCTTATGAATATCAAGACGAGGCAGAAGAGAAAAAAAGAATTGAGAACAGCATCAATTCCCTAATTGAAGCTTTGAAAAATGCTGTAAAAAGAGAGGTTGCCAAAGACAAAAGTATAAGAAGACATAATTATAATAACGACATTAGCAGGACAGCAGATCAATCCATATCACAAAATAATGATGAAGGTAACAGCTTCAGTTCTTATGAATATGAAGATGAGGCAGAGGAGAACATGAGAATTGAGAACAACATCCATTCTCGAATTGAAGCTTTGAAAAATGCTGCAAAAAGAGAGGCTGCCGAAGAGGAAAGTACAAGACGATATAATAATAATAAATACATTAGGAGCACAGCAGAACAACCCGTATCACACAATAATGATGCAGGCAACAGCTTCAGTTCTTATGAATATGAAGATGAGGCAGAAGAGAACATGAGAATTGAGAACAACATCCATTCTCGAATTGAAGCTTTGAAAAATGCTGCAAAAAGAGAGGCTGCCGAAGAGGAAAGTACAAGACGATATAATAATAATAATAAATACATTAGGAGCACAGCAGAACAACCCGTATCACGCAATAATGATGCAGGCAACAGCTTCAGTTCTTATGAATATGAAGACGAGGCAGGAGGGAACATGAGAATTGAGAACAACATCCATTCTCGAATTGAAGCTTTGAAAAATGCTGCAAAAAAAAAGGTTGCCAAGGAAAATAAAATTATCAGGACACCAGAACAATTCTTATCACACAATAATTATGCAGGTGACAGCTTTGGTTCTACTAAATATGATGAATCAGAATATGAAGATGATGCAGAATGGCACAGGAGAATTGAAAATAACATTCAATCTAGGATTGAAGCTTTGAAAGAAGACATAAAAAAAGAGATTGCCAAAGGTAAAATTAAAAGTAGAAATAAAAATACAGAAGTTAAGAGGAAATCAGAAGAATCTCAATCACATAATAATGATAGAGATGACATTATGGAAGAGCTACAAAATTTCAATCATCCATACAAATCATCCTCTCTTCATGGTAAAGGTGGAGGCATGGCCTATCCTGCGGTTTTGATGAATGTAAAAACAGCTATCATTAATATTCAAGACGGGAAAAACAGAGATTCTGTAAGTATGAACAATTCAGTAGCACTTCTAATATTATATAGAAAAATACAAACTTATCAACTCTCCCAATAACCATTATTCAGTTTTAATACTAAGTCATGCAACATCAGCAAAGATTCTAGCAGCAACAGCAAACAGTAATATTTCTGTTCAGTTTCTTGACTGTATACAATGAAAAGGAAAGCAAAGCTGTCCTGCTATATACCATATAGGCACTTGGGGGGGGGGGGATATAGTTCCTGCTCATTCTTGATATCGGCACAAGACAAGGGCAAGTGGTCACCATCATGCCCTGGCCGTGCTTTACTCCTAGGTACCCACCGGACAGGAGGTTGGGTGGGTCTCAGAGACGGTTGGACGCAGAGGCTAGAGGAAGAATCCTCTGCCCCTGCTGGGGATTGTATACAATATAATTAACTTTATCAAAAGTCTCCACACTTTTCCTATTTGGCTGCACAGTTGCTTATGTGTTTCAGCTGTACAGAGCCACCTACCTCACAATATGAGATTTGAGGTTCCCAAAATGGTGGAAATGTCAAACAAAATTAAAATCAATATCCGTCTTAAAATTCACATATTAGTTATACCTATTTATTATACCCATAATACTACTTACTATGAATTAAATAAATGTCCAAATTTGTAAGAGTTACTTGTCAAGGACTTTCATCCATCGAGTTACACGGTTGCCATAACCCAATCTTACTGTATATACTTTCCATATTTTATTAATATCTGCATTCCATGCTGATATTAAAAATAAGCACACTGTTTAAAATTGCTACAATTGTAGTTAGTTAATTTCTCAATATTCAACACAGAGTCTTTACCTATATTCTCTTTGCAGAACAACATAAGGGTCGAGGGTTCAAACACTGTGAAAGGAAATGATGAACTACGTGACAGCAGTATGATGTTACCAGAGGAACTGTTATCATTAGTTGAAGGAAGAAATGAAATTGTCCAGCCTAGTGGTGGGAGAAGCAAATCTGATTATGATTTTGGTGATTTATCTCATTAAAATTAGAATTATGAACTCCTGTGAAGGAAACGGAGGAGAAAAAAATCCAGAGAAGTCTGAAACACAGACAAGAGATCTATCCATTCCTGAGGTACACAGCAAGAAAACATTGGATGTTACTATTTTAATCCTAATGTTGTGAACATAATTGTAAATAGTGTTAACCTTATAGTGTTATACAGGACTACATGATTTGACCTTCTTATGTCATCCTCAAGTTCATCTTAAATATCAAATGGTACAAATAAGGCAGCTGGTAGCTGATTCACGGATCAATGCGAGGACTGTACATGATGTATACAGGGTGATTCAAAAGGTTAGAATTGTCATATTTAAGGTTGGATACTAAATACTGAATTGATATACATAATCACATTTTTAAAACACAAGTGAGAGTTAAAAATGTTTTTTTCGTGGCAGGATGACCACCGTCCTGCTCATGTGGCTGAAGGTGGTGCCAACAAAGCGTGTCTGTTGGGTTGAAGATCTCTCTAACGTGCAGTGAGAGACTGGAGAATCTGCTGTTTGCTTTAACCACTGTCTAAGAAGGTGTTATGAAGAAGATTTATTTATAATTTATTCTGTGGAAGATTGTTGGAATCACAGATAGCCTTGACCCTGTGAACCAGGGTGGAGTCAATCAGATAAGAGGTTATGTGCGGGATTCCTGCCCCAAGCAGTCAACGTGTCTCCTTTTCCAGAAAGAAAATGTAGCTGTCTGTTCCAGACCCTTAGTCAACATTGTGAATTGAATGTTTGTGGATGCTATTGAGGTTGAAGTACGAAGTAACGCTCACACACATCAACCTCTATCTGAATGCCAAGTCTCTTCACCATCTGGCTAACAGGGCCAAGGTTATCCATGATTCTGATAGCCTTTCATACAACCTAAATTTACTTCATGAAACATTCTTAAACAATGGGTCCAAACACAATGTCAAGACAGTGGGCTTCCTGCTAAGAAAGCTGTCCATTTTCTTTCAGTCCATTATTTGTATCCTGGCCCCAGCAATGTCAGGTATATATGGTATATTGTCACTCTGTACACAGCCTGCAGCCAACCATCTCTGTCTCCTACACGGAGACGCCCCATTGGCTTGGATTACTTCCCCTCATTCCTTGTCTCTGACTGACCCAAACCCAAATTCTTCTGTACATTTTTCTCCATTTCCCAGCATCAGGACTCGAAAAATATCACAGGCTCAAACTTGCCAGCGGTCACATGTACAACCATTCAAGTCACCAAGGAGCCATTATGGCTCAGTCTAAGTAAGATCTACTGTATAATGTACAGTCTAGCAGACTCCTTTTATAAATTGCACATATTATAAAAAGGGATGTAAATAAATGTGCAGTACAATGCATATACTGTGTAACCAGCATAAAATAAAATAAATTTAAATTTTGTTACCCTAGAGGAATACTTATTTCCATAACTGAACAACACATTCACATCTCAAGCAAACAGAAACAAAATGTAAATGGCATAAAATATAAATGATGACAAGAGCAGTGTGATTCACTTCACCACTCAAGAAACATCATTCAGGATCACACACTGTTCATATTTTTGTGTACTTCAGACAACTTCTGTGACTACAGTATTGTCATTTCTCACAGTCTCCCTTTAAAAATGAGGTCATCTGTGCACATATTCACACACACACAGATTGAAATAAAGTAAACCTAGCTATTGAAAACATACCTTCTGCCAAAGCATCATTGCATGGAGACATGGTGGTAGAGCTCCAACCCATCATCAAGACAACATCTGATAAGAATGGACAGGGCAGATAAGTAGTACATATAAAAGTGTAGTCAGAAAAGCTGACAGAAGAGACATCTTGGAAACCTAAAAGGAAGGATAATATTAAAATGTATCTTAAGGGAATGGTGTGGACAGGATTCTGCTTACTGAAGACAGGGTCTAATAGTGGGCTCCTGTGAACAGAGTAATTAACATTTGGGTTCTGTAGAAAGTTGGTAATTTAACTAGCAGATTATCAGGTTCTTTATGAAAGAAATGTAATCTTTTAACTGCTAATTGCAAAACCATCTAGATTTGTCAACATAATCATCATAATATTACTTTGGCTCTAATGTACTTTAAAAATATAATTAATATGTGAGTCATATTTAATCACCAACACAGTAATACTAAATTTGCAGACACACTGTGCTTTCCTTCAAATATATTAAGGATGATCAGTAAGTAACATCCAAAGATGTGTTATAGTTTATTTGGTATTTAAACATGAATATTCAACAGGACAAGTAACATGTTCTCGAACCAACGATGAGAATAAACTGTACATCCCAAAATGCTGCTTTCCATGTGAAAAAATCCTGCATTGTATGGACTCTAGTGATCAAACTGTACCCCATCAACAAATGAGTAAAAAATAATCACATGATGCCTTAAAAAAGTCAACCCATCTCAAAATCAGGGGAAGGTTCTGTTAGTGACATTCAGGGATGTACAGGATATTATTCTCCTGGAGATTCTGGACAAAGAAAAAATTAATAGAGATTAAACATGATTAAACACTGTACATAATCAAGCAAATACCTGTAATAAGCATGCAGATTATATTCCACATCCTTATACTGTGAAGGATCCATGAAATGTAATTAATTCTAATTGCCATTCACTAACAGAACTGATTCACATTATGGATGTTATGGATACACTTTCAAAATTATGCAGTAGCACCATCAAACACATTTCAGTCTATCACTCAACAATGAAAACAGCATGGTTTTCACTGTTTGTAATGTTTGATTATTTTGTAACACAGTTCATAAATGGTTCTCTTAATTTTCTTACACCGAAAGTCATCAAGCAAAGAAATCATTAACACAACCATAACCACAAATACAAGCAGTGGACTTCAAATATCTGTATGTACCAAGAACTCTTCTTATCACATCCTGCAAATATGTTATGTAGACTGTTAGACCAACTGCTCATGGAAATACCACTAGACAATTTAAACAATACCATTCTCCTTACACGAAAACTTAAGATGCACCTCTTATGCAAAACACAAACATTTTGTGTCAGACATAAACATTTCTTACAAAGAATACATCTTTTTGTTTCATACCAACAAACCCATATGTTCTAAAAGCTAACCTTCAAGACTCCCTCAAATTGTCTTAGCTGTTGCTGCTGGGATAAGTCACTCAGCTAAAATAACTGGATGTTCATTTTCAATGTAAATCTAGACAGCAAGCAGCCACTCAATCACTGAACTGTCAACATTTCTGGAATTAAATGTTTCTTTGGGCTCCTACATGACAACCACTTAAATTGGGGGGGGGGGGAGACCACATTACACAGTACTCTTCGATACAAAGTTGTTGAATTTCATGTCTTTGCAGAGACCTTGTATTTGCACAGTGAAGTTCTCTCTTATATTCCAAGAATCCACTTACTCCTTACTATCAATCATTCGCAATTCACCTTGCTGCATCATCTCATACCATCCACACACTCAGCACAAAAAGTTATCTTATTTTTTCCATCTACTGTAGCTGGCACCCCTGATTTTGTGAGTGGTTTCAAGGAGGGAGGGAGAGAGAAACGCACAGATTTAAAAAATATTAAAAGTGAAAACAGCATTTTTAAATCGAGGAAACATGGTAGTTTAAGGATTAAATGTCGGAACAATTCTTTTCACAATCCAATTACAAACATAACACAAGAACCGCTCAATCGTACGCTCGCAAATTCTTAAGCCGTCTTTTCGCCGGCCAGATGTCGTTTGTGATCTGTACGTTCATTTCGACCGCATGATTTAAATGGGCTAAACATTTATATGGATATTTTACGATTTGTTCTATGACGAATTCTGTTGTGTCCCTCATGAAATAACATATCGCGATAGACCAACAGTAATATACGTAAATTTAGTATGGAATAAATAAATGCATCGTGAAACATGTATGTACACAGTAGGCCATGACGAATTACGCATATTTTGTTTCGGTGCATTGTTACAGCAATATAACGTCATTATTGCATTACCACGGAAACGTACTTGTTGCATGGGTTGTGATAGCAACAAATTTTAGGAACGTCGTACAACTAAGACTACAAACATTTTCTGGATGATTTCATCATTATGAAAACAATTATTTTTATCCTGTCTGCGCTTTTTGCATGTGTGCTACAAAATATGGAATCACGAACCATGGAAATTTCCCATCACAATCTAGAAGAAAGCAAGTTAGTTCAGTAGTTTTATAACATTGGAGTTTTTATCATATACTAACAAAGTGTGTGTGAATGGCTATAAATAGTATCTAAATTTATGGAATACAGCAAGAAATCCATTATAATTTGTTTGGTGGTAAAACATATGATTCAACTATATGCAACTAGGCCTTTGTGCTGAATTGCTGGTTCTGATATTATTCACCCATTACTTCTCATCGATGGAAGAACATTAAGTACCATAAGTATGGCTCTTTAAAAATGGCAAATTTTGTCAAATTGTGACATTCAGATGAAGATAATTTAGTAAAAAACAGATAAGAGCAGTAGTATTAGTATGTTATATAAATGTTACAGCAGACTGAGAATAAGTAACCATACTCACCATATTTTGTTTCGTGCAACCAAATCTTCAGCCAAAGGATTTCTTTGGGATCACAGTACGCTATGACAAATTTAAGTGTATGGGAATGAAGAAAGATTAGTACCTAGTTATGATTGCAAGATGGTCCATATGATACCATTTTACATTAATATGAACCAATTTTCTACACTACACATAAATGTAAAAAGAAACTGGTACATGAAATAAGATACAGATCCAACCAATTTCTTCTTTAAGATTAAAATTATTTATGTATTGTATATGTAAAACAATATTCCACAATACTGATACAGACAATACTTTTTTGTATATGTTCTTTTCCTTACCTTCACAACACTGATTTGTATAAGCAATTAATTAATATCAAGACCAATGGAGGATGTAAAATAGTAAAGAATGCATTTGGAAAAACTAAAGGTATATGTTCTAAATCACTGGACATGTTGTGAAGAAACATTCTACTTTTGAACTGATCATATTTTCGCATTATCATCATATAATTACTTGCCCCATTCACAGTTATGAATAATAATAGATGACAAAAGTACACAAATCTTATCATGAGGTTTCTGTTCACAGAATAAATGGACCTGCTGAATACAGAGAAATGTGGTCATTGTCTAAATTTGACACCAAATACGAAGCCCCAAATATGGAGGAAAAAGCTTTGAATGGTGCTAAAGATGACACCATACAGCACAGTTTGCCTTCAGACATGTTTTTAAGACATGACAAACTCAGAACTGCAGACTCAAATGGGGATAAATCACAGAGTTCTGAAGAAAAAATTTCAAATATTTCAGAATCTGATAATCCACATGGAATCTCTATTTCATCAAATAATAATTTTCTGTGGCACAGAAAATCATTGACAAAATATCCTTCAATTACAGAAGAACAAAATACTCATTTCTCTTCAGGTGACCAACATTATCCTGAAAAATTCCAGAACTTTTCACAAACTGCAAGTGAACTAGGAGCTCTTGATGCTGGCACAGACCCAAGAGAAAGAAGAGCCTTCTTTCCTCACCTACATTTTCATGCACGCCCTCGTGCACATCCTCGCACACATCCTCACACTCGCTACTTGAAGTTTCTAAGAGAAGGTACCAACCACAAGCGTAGATTCAAGGTGAATGAATATTCATTATATTTCAGGAATGAGGTTCCTAAATATAAAAAAAAGTACTTTGTTAACGTGGGAGAAGAATTGGCGGGGTCAAATGAAACAGAGCTTAGAAAATCCATTGAAGGTGAGGCAAAGAGGATCATCAGAAGTGAAGACTACATTAATTCTCAAATTGAAGGTTTGAAAGCTTTTGTAAAAAGAGAGATTGCCAAGGAGGAAAGTGCAAGAATAATTAAAAATAGAGGAATTAGTAGGAAAAGAGAACAATCCTTATCACATAATAGAGATACAGATGACAGCTCTAGTTCTTTTGAATATGAAGATGAGGCAGAACAGAACAGGAGAATTGTAAACAACATTGAATCTAGGATTGAGGCTATCAAAGATGCCTTAAGAAAGGAGTTTGCGAGGAGGGAAATTACAAGAAGAACTGAAAACATAGACATTAACAAGAAATCAGAAGAATCACCATCACATAATAACAATGGATATGACAATCAAGAGCTGGAAAATTTCCGTCAATATGAAGCATCCGTTCTTCACGGTGAAGGTGGAGACACTGTCCAACCTGCAGTTTTTATGAATGCAAAAGCCGCTATCAGTAATATTCAAGACGGGAAAAACAATGATTCTGTAAGTATGAACAATTCAGTTGAATCTCTTACTTAATATTATATATAAAAGCACTACAAACCTGTAGACTGTGTACTTAGAAAAAAAACTCCCCCCCCCAACACCAAATCCAGTTTTGTTACTCTCTTCATGTAATCATTTGATGCAGCTCATGACCTGAGAAGATTATATTACATAATGATTATCTTCATAATTTGTAGTTTTTATAAAAGAATATTAGGGATAATAAATATAGCAGTATGACCTTGATCCTTGATGTTGCATGAGATAGATAGCAAATGCATAAAAAATGTTTGTCTAGACATCTGAAAGAAAGAAACTAAGTGCAAAACCTAGCTGTAGATAGCAGGATAAATATTTAAATGGTTCATACAGATACAAGGTGTGAGAGTATGGACTAATTCAAACAATCTGACACAATGTCAAATGGTAAGTAAATCTAAGCATGGTAATGAGTTTTCAGGTTCCTGTAAAAAGCAGCAAATTTTCTGGCTGGTTGAGCAACTGATAGTTTCCAAGGACTTTCCTTCGTGGAATTACGTATTTGACATAAATAATTCTTACATTCCAATTATTGTTATTGATGTCTATTTTCCATGCTCTTAAAGAGATCCACATTCTATTTAAATTTTTTTTATTTACAACCTGTTAATTTGTCAATATTCAATATTGAGTGTTATCTTTACCTGTATTCTGTTTGTAGAGCAACATAAAAATCAAGGGATCCAATATTGTGAAAGGAAATGAACCACATTATTTATCACACGACAGCGATACGATGTTACCACAAGAATTTGAACCACAATTTGGAAAAAGAAAATAAATTCGTGTGTCTAGTGGTAGTGGATGCATCTCTATTATGATTTTGGTGATTTGTTTAATTAAAGTTACAAGGAAGAACTGTTGTGAGTAATGTCAGTGAAGGAATTAGAGGAAACAAAACCCAGAAAAGTTTGAAACATAGACAACGATATATCTGTCCATTTCTAATGTACACAGCAAGAAAACATTGGATGTTACAATTTAAATCCCTGTGAAAGACTGCTAGAATCACAGATAGCCTTGACCCTGTGAACCAGGGTGGAGTAAATCAGATAGGAGGTTGTCCTGTGTGGGATTCCGGTCCCAAGCTGCCATCAGATCTCTTTCTCCAGAAAGAGAATGTTGCTGTCTGTTCCAGATCCCCAGTTCCCATTGTGAATTGTACGTTTCTGGATGCTGTTTAGGTGAAGTAGGAAGTCATCTAGTTTTACATATCCATGGGGACAGATCACCTATACCTTCACCACGAAGGCTGAAAAAGATTGCTGCATTCTCTCTGCGGTTAGTGATGTTGACAGGAGACATAATGGTTCCTTTCGACATAGAGCATGCAGGAAACCCACACACAAACATCTGAATGCCAAGTCTCATCACCATCTGGCGAGTAAGCTGGCTGTACTCTCCACCCTGGATAACAGGGCCAAGGTTATTTGTTTCATAGATAGATAGATAGATCCTGTAACAGCTAATGGTGGAAGATTTTTATTAAATAAATTCTATTCAATTCTGGCATGAACAACTAGATTCCCCATCCCACAAATTTGTCATGGCTTCAAATGGACAGCACACAATGAATATATTATACACAAACGAAACTGTCAGTCAATAAACAAAATTTCGAGTTGTGTGGAACTTTGAGGTTATATCCAAGAAATTTAAAATAGAGAAAGATAAATAGAATTTAATTTTTTAAATCTAAACTTTCAGTATCTGAATGTGATGGTAACAAGATTTGTATGACTGGTAATCTGTACTTGGAAAGCACGCTTTATGTGTTCGTCATCTTCGTAACGCTTGTCACGAAACTGGACTTTTGGAAATATCGAAAATAAATCTCTTCCCCCCTCTATAAAAATGAGAATCACGATATATATAAATTTAAGCCAGCACTAGAAGTGCATGTCCTATCTCATTCCTTCTACGCCACAGAATGAAAAAAAGGGAAATACGGTAAACAACAGACATACCACGCCTGATTCTGTGGAAAGTTGATGAATTTCAGTTCTGTTTTACATCAACATTGTAAAATCAATACGTAAATTTGTTTAGCACTAGAAAGATGAGCACCACAGATAATTATACATGGCATTCGGCTACACATCTATAAATCATTACTGTTTTCGATAGTGTAATACAGTCGATTTGTTCGATAGTTGTTTCACCAGTTCATCGTTTGTTGTTGAAACATGGCATCGATAGGAATTCCTGTGTCGTTGAGATTTGGGCGATTAACAGTAGAAAATGTAGTAAAGATAGGAAGATACAGACATAACAGGTTCGTAAATGATTGTGTAAATAGCAGAATTTGCAGGTGTACCTTTGGAAGATATGACTTTGCCACCAAATTTAAAATTTCCATTTTAGCATATTTTCTTTAGAAAAATCAGAAGCAAGCATTGTCTACACAAGGAATACAGAAAGTCAGACACTTATCGACATGTATTTACCGGAAAATATGTCAGTATTTGAAGGAATCGTATACCCTATGATTCTTAACCTAATTTTAGTCTATGATGCAATGGCTAGTTGAGCATGCGGGCAGTCATTAACGCTGTTCAGAGAACTATCGGAATTTACTAAGGAGAGCATTAATAATAAATTGTATTTCAGAGTTTATCAGTACTATGTATTTTCGGTGTTGATATTTAAAATACTGTTGACATATTCAGAAGCTTCTTTCTCATATATTAAAACATTTGGATGTTTTTTGTGCCTGATAAAGGTTATATCCAACACTTAGCACACAAAAGTAAAAGGTATATTAAATGTCTCTGAGAACTACATTTTGTTAACCGTTTAATTTTCTACGAATGAATTGAAGAATTTGAAATTAATACCTTATGTAGACATTGGTATTGTCACTAGTTTTCTTACAGTGTAAAACATGTTTTATTTCCTTACCTTTAGAAAGTTCAATGAAGATTTTGAAAGAAATTAAATTTAACCATATACAAGGGTGAAGATGTACATGACCAGAGAATTTAAACAAACAGTAGAAGAAATAAACATTATGTGGTTGCATTATGTTGAGGAAGTGAACATTAAATGTCCCAACTGTTTTCAGCAAGACCTCACTTGATTTCTCTTAGTCACTATGTCTCTGTACTATGTTAAGTAATGGTTTAAAAGTATTTTGAAAGCCAAACATAGCCATGTGTTCCTCAGACTGATAGCCTGCGTGTGCGCACACACTACTTTAATACAAAGTACAGGTTGTTCACTGGTAAACTAAAGTGCATGTGTCACTTTCCAGGTCCCAGCTGAAACTGCATGACTCACTGTCAAACACTAAAAGGTTTCCCTGATATGAGCCAAGTATCGCCCCATAAAAACAGCTTATCTTTTTTAAAGTTTCAGCCAGAATCTTGGAAGTAACAGTTGCATTCAACTTTATCAGTGAATGCACTGTGTCATCATTCTCTTACAGATACCCCAGTCATACACCCTTTCTAAATCAGTGGCTTACTGGCCAAAGAGGAATGGGTGCTGCAACATCACAAGAAACAAAACAAAATGCAGAAACAACTGCAAGTGAAGAATCAGAGAATGAAAAAAAATTACGAATGGAAACTGAAAGTCTGGCCAAAGAAATAGATTTATTGTCTGAAAAGAAGCTAGAATTGGAAGTAAGTCAATGTAAATGTCATCTGCATTTTGTTTTACTGTGTACATAAAAATGCTTTGATTTGGGTTATCCAGAAGTGTTGTACAACATAAAAAGAATGTTCATAATAAACTTAAGAATAAATTGAAGAAACATTTATCATTTCAGAAAGTTTTATTTTCTGTTATTGAAGACACTGGGAAGTAAAATGTGATTCCACCACTATGCCCATTGTTTTGTATGATAGAAAATGTTATTTTTGTTTTGTGGTTTATTTAACAATGCTGTCAGTATCTCAAGACTATTGGAAATTTGGCCTTTAACAGCAGGATGAACATAAAATAGATGTGGATGCCTTTCTTCTGGGTTATTGTGCCATGTGGCCTGGCAGAAGTTTACCAACATTTCAAAGGTGCTTATCTTCTCAGTCATCAGGGCAATGAGTTTAAGCACTCTAGTCACCCTGATGATGGAGGTAGGAAGCATGCCTGAAAGATTGGTAAATTTCTACCAGACTACATGACACAAAAACCTAGAAGAAAGGCGTCTTTGTACTTAACACTGAGAGATCCTGAAAAACAAAGCACTAAAGAGAATATGTGAATTTAAGAATGAAGATTACAAAATATTACATTCATTGGGACTTCCCATTTTCTTGTTTGGTATGCAATGTGGTTACAAACATAAAGAGTAACCATTAAACCACCCACTATGATGCAGACTCCCTGCTTACACTGAACCAATGCATTTCATCACTTGTATTTAAATACAAATGGCAACTGAAGAGAATCTGAATAATAATTGTGGATTTTTAAATTTTTTTTACAGGACAAATACAAACGAGCTCTAGCAGACAGTGAAAATATGAGGCAGAGGTTAATGAAACAGATAGAGGATGCAAAAATCTTTGGTATTCAGGGATTCTGTAAAGATCTGTTAGAGGTAGTACCAGTATTAAAAAAAATGCTTACATAGTTTTATAGAGACGGGCGAGAATATCATTATTTTGAACACATATTTTTTCACTCAAAGGTTGCAGACATTCTGGGCAAAGCTACAGAAAGTGTTCCAAAAGAAGAAGTTCGGGAAAGTAATCCGCATTTAAAGAACCTCTATGAAGGTCTTACAATGACACAAGCTGAATTACACAAGGTACTGTATGTTTAACTAGAATGAATTATTTAATGTTCATCACATTTATTAAATACTTGGGCTTAATCTTCACAAAGGTACAGAAAAAAATGTAATACCCTACTGAAAACTCATGGGACATTGTAATGTATGTTATGTGGAGAAAGATGCTACAGACTGGGCAACCGGGGTTCGATCCCCGACGGGGGCAGAGGATTTTTCCTTTGCGTCCAGACCGGCTCTGGGGCCCACCCAGCCTCCTATCTGATGGGTACTTGGGTCCTTTCCCGGGGGTAAAGCCGGCCGGGGCGTGATGCTGACCACTCACCCCCATCTAGTGCCGAGGTCAAGAATGAGTAGGAGCTATACCTCCTCTCCCCCCCAAGTGCCTACATGGCATATAGTGGGACAGCTTTACTTTTTTATGTGTAATACTAGTTTTCTTATTGCGTATTCTCCTATTTAAAGTGAATATATGATTGTGCAAAATAAATACATTTAAATATTGTCAGAAACTGTGAATTTTACTAATGATTCAGTTCTAAACCAGGGTTCATGTAACATTTAACAGGTATTCAGACGACACGGCCTTATTCCAATTAATCCCATAGAAGAGAAGTTTGATCCCAACTTCCATGAAGCACTTTTCCAACAGGTAAGATTAACTTTGAATTGTTACTGAAATGTGGGATGCTTTCCCACATATGACAAGCAGAAACCAAATGCTGAAGGTTATGAATTAGTAGAATACTTCACATTTTATGTATTTCTTATGCTTGAATTTTCCTGACCTCTTACAACAAATGATGATGGGCTTGTCTGTCACCATGACAAAAAATATCAGCCAAAATTTATATATGTATTATAGCCTAGAATTATTTGAAATTAATTTTTTACACCAACTTCTTTTGATATAAAGGAACTGTATATTAACGTGGAACAGATTTTAGTTTGATAACAAAAAATAGAAGCTGCATAACTAAATGTGAATCTTTTCAGGAGGTCCAAGGGAAAGATCCTGGTACAATTGTGGTAGTATCAAAGACTGGCTACAAGCTACACGAACGAGTTATACGGCCAGCTCTAGTCGGGGTTGCCAAAGCTCCCTAGATTAAACACAATATAATGGCAACAAACACTATGATAGGAGCCATAAATACATTTATGTAGGCAGATATTGTACACAACAGAATTTGTATTATTCTCATTGAACATATTTTCTGTATGGACACAAAATTTTTAAAGTAGACACTGTCTGCGAAACATGGTTACGAAACTTGTATTTAGAATAAAACAGGACACTAAAAATGAAGTTATACATTTGTCAGTTTTTTTTTAAGATTTCAATAAAGCAAATAAAGTTTTGGAACAGTGTTTATTATATTCCTTTTTTTTTACGTAGACTGCACTCACCACAACTTATGTTTTAATTTTAATACGAACTGGATGGTTTGTACTGTACTTCACTCTTGGCAAGCAACACACATTACGCACACTAGAAAATGTCTGTTACCGGCAGGTAATATATACATTAATGACGAGCTCTCCTCGCACGTTATTTTGTATCATACCACGAGGTTTATAATTTGAGTAAAATATGTACCAACAACATTAATGCAATACTGATTAAAATTAAAGTATTGGCCCATGTGTTAAAATTCAAGACACTGCTTTGACTGAATGATTGATGATGATGACGATAGAGCATTCTGTAGTAAAGCATTTGCCTACAGATCTGTTATTGATAATGCATCTGAATGAAGAAATATCACAGATAAAACTATCAATTAATCTTTTCTCTTAATGCCCTGTCTTATTCATAACACAACAGCTGTATCATAATGAAAAATACAATAATTCATAACCAAGAAAAAATCATAACAGGGAAATGCATAAAAATCATCTCTGATGATTTGAACTTCACAGAGAATTAACAAGGAAGTATCATTCAAGTGTATAAATTTCATACTGATGTGAGATAAATTTTGAAACACTTGGAGAGAAAGATTAAAACAAAGCTAGCATTTACATCTTTCTTTTTTTATGTACAGTGCAAGAATACAATTTAGTCACAGCATTAAGACAATACAGCTATCAGACTGACTGAAACATACACTGCTACGATAACGCGGTAACGTTTCTACACAAATCTGTAACATCAAAAACTGTGAATTTTTGAGAAACCATACAAGTGATTATGATCGAAAGTGATTACACAGAAAAACTTTATTCAAATTTAAGACAATGACAAGAGCCAACTTGTGTATAATATTGGAAACACTGAAATCTTCATACCCACCGCTGTGAAAACCTCAAATCTTACACTAATTAAGTTTGTCTTGATGAAACTATGGCCAGACTTTAACATGCCCACATACTGTGTACGTTGTTGCTGTTGGCCTCCTGAATTTGTAACGAGGCCAGAGCCTTAAATATTTTGGGTAGGACAGATGATGAGAATATCAGAATACTGCAAAACTATTAAATATGAAAATGACATGTGCGATAAAGATGGCTGTCTTCTAGGTTGTTACCACATAGTCTGGTAGTAGTTCACTGATGTTTCAGAGGTGTTTGCTGCCTCCATCACCACCCTGATGATGGAGGCAGCATGCACCTCTAAAACATTAGTAACATTCTACCAGACTATGTGGTATAATAACCTATAAGACGGTTAACTTCATACTCGCTTCTGTGACAACCTGAAATTTCAATACATGTGCAATAATTTACAATACGTCTGGATTTAAAAGAATTGCCACTTTAAACTAAACACACTAAACTTTTATTGGCCATGTGATAACATCTTATATACTGTTCAGCTGGATGTGTGTCATAGTAGTAAATCATTAAACTATCAAATCCTGGAGTTAAATTCTGGCATTTAAATACTCCGTTCCACATGATAGAAGCTATCGCCAGGTTCGTACACTATCGAAATTGTATATAAAGAAGCAAGAGATTTGTATCGTGCACACCTTTACAAGCAACGACACTTGTATGGACAACGCGCATTTATAAAAACATGACTGGTAATGACGGCAGTGTGTTCATTTGGAAGAAATTTAAAAAATTAATATTTGTAAAATAAAATGGCAGGTTCAGCATATAAATGAGTTAATTTCTAGAACAAGAGTAATTAAATATCAATTAATCTGTTACCGTGTAAAGCAATGTCGCAAAGTTTGAACACAAATGAATCTTGCCGTTTTTATACGTCTTTCTTGCCGAGGAAACTTATTTATAAATATTTGACCTTTCTGACGATATCATTTCATTACTAACTGTACAGTAGGTGAGTAACGAAGTGACCTCCGTAAGCATTTACCCTACACAATGGCTTAACTCTGGAATGAAATTACTTGTCATCGACACTGTACGTCTGTTGTAGTCAGAGTTCTATGTGTAAAAGAATGTGTACACATGTACATCAAAACCCTTCTTGGTACTGTCTTGTCTCCATCTTGGCTTGCAGGAGTTCAAGCTGTCTCTTAGCCTCGCACTGTGGGAAGTTGTTTAAATCGTAGTACTGAGGTGCTATTTTCAATACCCATTCAGCTGAAAAATATAAAATTTAGAAGTCTTCATCACCATCGTTAATCTGTTACTGGTATTAACGTCTATGTGACAATATTTAAATTTCTGTAGTATTTCTGGCGATGTCTTGGACACGTTAAATGACATTTAAATTGTCAATGCAATAATTACAAAAATAAACTACCTATAACATATTTTAAGCTAGAAACGCCATATAAGAACGAGTTATTAAGAATCAATCCATTTACTTGTATACAAAGATTTTTAATAACCATTCCTTCATTCTAAACAGCTTAGTATATTACTTTACGGCAATAATAATAGCACAAACAGAAGACCTGGAATTTATGAGGAAAGTAAAAGAAGAATATGAAATCTGGGGATTAACATTAAATTTAGATAAGACAATGTACTGGAATTTAGGAGATACTAATAACGGACTGATAATGGAAACGGGAGAAGTAATAAAGAGGAGAGAAAATATTAAATATCTAGGAGCGATGATAGGGGACCAAGGGATGTATGGAATTGAAACAGAGGAAAGGGTAAAACAAGGAAGGAGACTCATAGGAGCCCTCAACCCAATATTATGGGACAAAAATATCGCAAAAAGAACGAAAGAGAGAATACATGAAACGATGATACAAAGCATGGCTCTTTATGGAGCAGAAATTTGGTGACTCTCGGAACAAAAAAAAAATAAGTTGAGAATAATGGAAATGGATTTCCTAAGAAGAGCGGCTGGAATTTCCAGAAGAGAGAGAGTGAGAAACGAAAGGATTAGAGAAATCATGAGGATGGGTTGAGATATAACTGAGGAGATAGAGAAAAGACAAATGATTTGGTACAGACAAGCGCAAAGGATGGAGGAGGAAAGGTTACCAAAGAAGACTATGAAATGGCAACCAAAAGAGAGAAGGAAGAGAGGAAGACCGAGACCAGGATGGAACGACAGAATTATAAGAAGCATGATAGAGTGGAAACTACCTCTGGAAGGATGGGAAAATAGGGAAGAATATATTAGGCACTGGAAGACCGAAGTAACGATCAAGAAACGGATGAAGAAGAAGAAAATGATTATGCTTACGTTTAATGTCGGTGACGGTCCGAATGTAGTTCTTGGTTGTGAGTACAAATTCATTATAGATGACCCATTCTGGCTTGTGGTCAAGGCATGTTGAAGGATGAAGTTGAACTACTTGGTTGTCTTTAATGGTCAAATAGTGACCCGTTCTTTCCAGGTGGGCAACCTGTAGAAAATACATCGTGATATTATATCCTTTGTGTTCTACTACAAACACAATGGCAGAAGGAGAATACTACATTTATCAATGACAACAAACCTTATAAATACTACTAGGAAATTTGTGTTAATATTGAAGGAACATTTCTTGACAGCTGCTGTAAAATCATGGAAAGATGAAGGTATCTTTTAAGATCAGAATTTAAAATGTGGATTGGTCCCCATTCATTCTGTATCTCATTTTCATGAACTCCCTCATTTCAAATTATTATACCTGCATAAAAAATCCCGTAACCAAGGCTTTTCTTATATTTATATAGTAATCCTTGGATGTGAAATCTGTTGAGGTTCTCTTCAGGTTGAAGCGATCCATGATACGAGAGAGCTGCTGCCGCACATTGTCACCTGACTTCAGAGACCGATAGTTAACGAAGTTGTCATAACACCACTGAGGATCCTCCGAGTCTGAAAATGACAGTTGTTTGTAATTGAATTCAGAATGATATATATATAAAACACACGAGTATGAAGGTTCATTATTATGTTCAAAAAATAATATAATCTACAATTAACACATTTTCTTATTCTTTACAGATGCATCTCAGACAAATCTGATGTCACTGGTGCCATTTGAAAAGGTAAGTGGACAAATTCTGGCATATGTACCAGAACCATTCTGGAATGCATACATTTCTTCCAACTTGCTGTACAAGTTTTTGCTGCTGGTAACAACATGAACCAGGAATTCTGGACATGGAACAAGGTTCTTTAATATTGGACATTATGTCAAAGTACTATGTATGGCGCAACATGCTAATATGTTGCTTACCGAACACTCAGTACACCGAATTTACAACAAATAAAGATAAAGAAGTAAATACTCACTTTGTTTGAAAGCATGGTAGACGTTGAGTAACGTGAGGTGGTCACCATCGATGTGAGCAAATCTCATCTTGGCGTCATCTGCCGCTTTCTTGGCCTCATTGGGCCGCACGAAGCACTGTGGGACTAAACAGTGGAGGAGAGGGGGGAGCCCGCATCCAACCAATTTAGTAGTGTCCACACACACCACACTAGCAGCGAGTGCCAGTGGCTCGCTCTGTTTCAACCTATGGGAGCTACATCAAGTTAGAATCTTCCATGTCACACACAGACAAAAAAGGATGAATCTGATTGGGTTTAAGCTGTGTTTAAGTTACATACTATCGTCTACAGGATCAATAACAATAGATGACAAGTTTTTTTTAATAATTTACTTCAATTCTGACAAAACATAATACAAGTCCATGCTTTAGCTCACCACTTGAAAATATACTGAAGATTCTAGCTTGTTGTAGCTTTGAGTGCGAACTACACAAATGGAATGTTCATGTTCCCATGATGGTATAGAAATATGCACTTTAGTGCAGGTGATGCACCCCTGGACAACAATTCAATATTCATAAACTCACAACTATAATCCATCTCCTAATTTTCAGATATTTTTTTTTAAATGTATGTTTTTTTTTGGGGGGGGGGAGGGGGGAACCAACCTTTTGAAATGTCATATAATTAGTGGCATTAAATTCCAATCTGCTATGAAATGGAATTACTGTTATGTACACATTATGCAAAATTTTCTTACTTTCACTCATAGCTTCTTCAGTGTCATTTATTGTATGTAAAAATTATGTGCACATTTGTGTTTCTTTCTCCAGCTAGCTCTGTGACAAAATAACTAAATAAAAAAAAAACTTGGAACGCTTGTAGAAAATTGTCACAACTGCTAATTTCAAACACATTCATGGGGAGGGTTTATGAATATGATCCTCTTCCACACAAAATGTCTGCTTGTTTTCTGAGATAAAATTTACCAAACATAGAAATAATCCTTTTACATTTCCTGTTAATGAAACCCCAAATGGAGTTTAGGAAACATGAAACTCCAATAAAGACTAACAGGTATTTATATTAAGCAAAACAATTACAAATAATAATAATAATATCACCTTATAGGGACTCCAGCTATGGAAATGTTCACTTCAATACCTTGTACACAAAATAAAAATAATTCTGATGTTGATCTTCTGGGTTGTAACATTGCGTGAACTTGTAGGTACATACCAAAATTTCAGATAAACATACTGCCTGCATCTTCTGAAATGATCTTGGCCTGGATGACTGGCTATCCTAGTTTTTCATGATATTTCTCAGACCTCTGGGCAAACATTACTTGCCTCGCATTCTTATATCATATCATATCAAGAAAGAAAGAAAAATTAAAAAATTGACTTCTCAGTTTCAAACTTTGAGAATTTAAAGATAAATGCATTTGCTTCGCATAAACATAAGCTTTCTGTCCCCTTCATTTCACATCTTCCTCCATTTCCATACATGGCATCCGACTTCACTTCTCTGACTACCAACATCTCAGTCAGTGACCGAAGCCAACTGCTGTTCTTTGTAATGTTTTTGCCTCAAACCCTACCCAAACCTGTCCTGTTTTAGCACACAGTATTCATAAGATAAACGTTTTTCTCCTGTTTTCACCGGTGGGGGGTTAAATTCGTAAGATAGGTCCCATGCCGTAGCCGCATGGTCAGAGGCATCATGCTTCGGACCGGTGATACGGAATGCGCGCTGATTCGAGTCTCGGGGAAAGAAATTTCTCACGCGTATTAAGACTTTTAGGTAGGCCTACTGAATTTATTCGGAACATACACAATATATTTGGAGAATATATCCGCAAATTTTAATGAAACTTGATAATAACTTAGCATCGTGAGGAAATTGGGGAGCTACAATAGCGTAATGTGGTCATCAAAACTAGCGATGGCTGGGGGTTCGTCGTGCTGACCACATGTCACCCTATATCTGGTTGGATGTAAAGCCTCCTCAGTAAACAGCTCTAGAAACATGTTTCCAGTACTTTACTCCTGGAAGAATTGCGTATTCGGGTTTTGCGAAATTCTTGTGACGAAAAAAGCGACTAACTTCGCCATTTCAGCTCTGTTCATTCCATTCCAGTGGCTGACTAGATCTTAGACTCGGAGTAAGCGCGTTTCCTGAAAACTGTCGGTAATATCAAATTGTTCTTTGCTAATTACTTTGTCAATTTCATGTGCATTAACAACTTCAAATATTCTAGCAGATGATCAGTATCTTCTAAACTAATATTTTGGCGAAATCGGCAATTAAATGGAGAATATGGTCACTCAGTGTGTAACTTTGCCCATGTACCACACTGCATGCCGCTGCTGTCACAGACGTCATCTTCATTACTGGAGGGGACGCTTTCCTGACTGCGTGGTGGAATTTTCCCTTTCATCGTACAATTACCACCACATTTTCAGAGACGTCACTACATTCCTTATCTTGCAATAGTCGACATAATATTTCATCATTCACATGGATTCTTTTGTTAGACCTCATCACAATGCTTGTTAGCGAAGTTTTGAACTCAGAACAGCTTTCAATCATGAAGTACCTCCACTTTAACCGTAAGATCTAATAAGCACACTATGTATAAATTAATATACCTTCACCGTAATTTTGCCCTTAAGAGGTCTCATGATCCTCTAAACTTCGGTCAACAATTATATTATTGCTGATACTTTCGTTCAACTTCAATTCACATTACCTTGCCCATAAACCAGCCCCACGACCAACTTGTTTAAAACGGCCCCAACTTTTGGAACAATTCTCATTTTGAGACTGCCTCGTTATATTCACGTAAATAGGGCGTTTAACATAACATATATGATCGTAACAGAGCCACGATGGTACCGTTCAATAACACGATTTATAACCAACGCCAAAAAAACAAACTGTACAAACTTAAAAATACGTAATTTACGTCAAATACCTGTAGCATGTCTACACTAGGTGTTACCTGACAACATAGCTGTGATGGACAAAATCTCGTTAGAGCAATTGTGGTTACAGCTGGCGATCAACATCTTCGCCAACTGAGGATCCAGAGGGAATTCCGCCATAACTGCACCTAGGTCTGTCAAGTTGCCATCGTCATCCAACGCAGCCAAGTAGTTCAGTAATTCCAATGCTCGCATCAGCGTTTCTGGGGCTAAATACAAATCATACCACTTATGGTAGTTTACCTACTGTAATATGATACTAAAGAGGCCTTATGCTTCACTTAGGAGTGAAAAGGATATACTATTCTTCTTCTTCTTTATTACGCCGTCTCCTCTACAGGAGGTTGGCGACATATTACGAACAGGATCCTTCCATCCTTTTCTCGGACTGGGACCTGTTCATATATGTTTTTTAGGCAGGTGATACAGAAGTAGTTTGCCATTGCCTTCTTCTGTGTGTATGGAGTATGGAGTGCCACGGAGAAACCCGGGAAGCCCCGGAGGAAAACTCCGTGTTGCCTAGACCACGGCCTTGCCCAACACAAGTTATAAATTCGGGCACCGCCAGGAATCAAACCCGGGACCCCAGGAATACTCACAAAATTTTCTCCACTTTTGTATTCTTTAATTCCATATAAAACTATGCCATGCTTTTGATGCTTATAAAATTCTCTAGTTCTTTAGAAATTTACATCCATATACCTGGAGGATCCATGAAATCAAAGTGGACCAAGTCATCAATTCCCAGCTTCTTAAGTTGCAAAACAACAGAGCCTAGGTTTGAACGAAGAATTTCAGGATACGTGTTGTCCTGCATCTCTTGTTTGAACGCTTTCTCCGTATAAAGTCGAAAGCACTTGCCCGGCCTTGTACGGCCAGCTCTACCAGCCCTCTGCTGAGCAGAAGCTTTACTAATGGGAGAGACCAGAAGGGATTCGACTCGGATGCGGGGATTATAAACCTATTAGAACAAACCAATATTACAATGTCAGAATTGTGGACACTTCAACTCAGCTGAAGTCTAACAAAGTTAATACCGACAAGCTTTACCATAGATTAAACGTCTGTCTTCTGTCTCCAAATTACGTATCGCTTATTCCTGCTTACATCTTAACACATTTACCAATGGAGAATGTAGCCGTGGCTAAAGAGACCAACATATAGACAATGATCACTTCTACTGTTATAATCTTTGAAGGTTTTCCAAAAAACTGGATACTTCTGTCACATATTTAATACACACAAACAGGAGATGAGATGAGGAAAGTAAAAGAAGAATAAGATATCTGGGGATTAACATTAAATTTAGGTAAGACAATGTATTGGAATTTAAGAAATACTAATGACGCACTGATAATGGAAACGGGAGCGGTAATAAAGAGGACAGAAAAGATTAAATATCTAGGAGCGATGATAGGGAACCAAGGGATGTATGGGATTGAAACAGAAGAAAGAATAAAAAAGGTTGGAATTTCCAGAAGAGAGAGAGTGAGAAACAAAAGGATTAGAGAAATCATGAGGATGGATCGAGATATAACTGAGGAGATAGAGAAAAGACAACTGATTTGGTATGGACATGTGCAAAGGATGGAGGAGGAAAGGTTATCAAAGCAGACTATGAAATGGCAAACAAAACAGAGAAGGAAGACCGAGACCAGGATGGAACGACAGAATTACAAGAATCATGATAGAGAACAGAATTCTTATATGGACACTTTTCTTAAAAATGGCTCATAAGATATGATTTACCTTCTGTTTTGCAAATCCAGGATCAATTACAAATACAACACCATCAATAGTTAGAGAAGTTTCTGCAATGTTTGTTGAGACGACAACTTTCCGTCCAATGGCTCCACTTGGTTTATTTGGTGGTGCAGGTTCAAAGATACGTTGCTGAAGATTGGGAGGAAGTGTAGAATAGAGAGGAATGCATTTCAGCTCCCCAACTTCTGGTCCAAGGTTATCAATTTCACGCTTAATTCTCTTACAAGCTTCTTCAATTTCCTGAAGATGAACGTATTATTATGTATAATGAAACAACTCATAACTTTTTATAAATACAATACAGTACTTGTGGGTTATCGAAACACATCACTTTAAAAATAGGTTAGGTTAGGGTTGATGTTATCTGTTAGTTTGTTCAATTATTTATTGCTGTCCACACACATTAACCTAACCTAACCTATTTTTAAAGCGATGTGTCCCGATAACCCACAAGTACCTAAAATACAAAAACATTGCTTAACATGACCGCTGATATAGTTCATAAAATGTTAATTTCCTAACTTTTTTTTATCACTGAGTTTTGGTATATTCAAAAGGATTAGACCTTTAACCTAGGTAACCATAGTAACCACGATAGCCTGGAGAGTCCCACAGTCTCTTCCACGTGCAGAAAAGCATGTTTGTCTACGTACGAAAGTGCGCGTTGTTGTGAAGTTTTGACCAAAAGTGTAATGTGCCAAGAACCCTGGAGGAAAACTCCATGATGCCTGGACCACGACCTTGCCCAACACAAGTTGTAAATCTGAGCACCACCGGGAATCGAACATGGGACCACAGTATTACAAGCCCAGAGTTCTAACCGCTAGACAACCGTGGCAGTGTCAAGATATTAGAAGGATATAAGAACATAATAATGGTAAAAAATACAAACTTCTTGGCCTGTGAGGAAAAGGAGAACGTCACCAGCAATTTCTTCACACATGTGGATTTGAATCACAGTTCGGATAGCGGCTTCAAGGTAGTCTCTTTCTGGTTCTGGCGTGTAGAAAATTTCAACAGGATGTGTTCTACCAGGTACATTCATCAATGGTGCATTGTCAAAATATTGCTGCAAGGAAAAGAAAGAAAAAAGTTATACTTTACGGAACTTTAAAAATATACTAACATGGTCACAAAAGTTGCATATTATAATTTTCATACACATTGGAGCTCTTATTTTCAACATTACATATGCAGAACACCCCTAAAACTATAATTAAAAGGAAACATAAATTTCTTAAAAATACCTACAACACAAGGCAGCAAATAGCTGAATTTTAACACTGAAAATCCCAATATTTGATCTGTGGGTGACAATCATCTGCAGGAGATAACCCGTCATTGTATTATTCGCTACCCAACCTGTATATAGGAAATAGGATACACAAAGAAATAAAACCCACACGATCTGCTCCATCTTCCAGTACATACATACATATATATATTTAACTCGCCTGAAACTTTCCAGCATCAAGTGTGGCTGACATAATAACCAACTTCATATCTGAACGCTGCTTAGTGACCTCCTTCAAAACGCCCATAAGGATATCTGTTGCTAGAGTTCTCTCGTGAGCTTCATCCAACAGAATCACCTGATAGTTTTCTAACATAGGGTCTGACATACCTTCTCGTAACAACATACCATCAGTCATGTACCTAAACACGAAACAGAGTAAGTTACAGTAAGTCTTGAATTGAAAAGGAACATCTAAAAAAAATTCAATGTACAGTAAAACTCCTAAAGTTGGACACCCCTTTACCCAGTGTCCTATGTTCGGGAAGAGGAGGAAATAGTAAAGTCTTCTTCAAAAGTTCTGGCAAAGATTCCAAACTAAAAGATGAGTATGCCAGGAATTTAAATGGCAAGACACAGACATTGATAAGTTATGTAATTTAATGTATAATAGACGTTTATGACATCACAACACCAAATAACTGCTGTAATAGCCTAACAAAGAAATTCCATATATGTTATCACAAAAATCCAAAATTTGTCTGAACTTCCTTGTCCTAGGTAAAACTAGAGTTTTACCCACAAAAAACTAGTTTAGAGAGAGTTGAAATATTTCTGGCAATATTTTCAACATACACCATGCTTTAATCCTATTTTAAGATTATTAATCTAAATGTACTTCCAAGATTGTCACATCATCAATACGTAATCATTACACGTATTCTAAAATAAAATGCATTAAAACCCAAAATCTTGATTGGCACAAAATATTCTGCAAGGAATACGACAAAATTTGTGAGAACTTGGATTCATATTCAAGGCAATTAAACTTTAATCAACCATTCATTAGAATTACTTACTTTAAGAGAGTTTTTGCTGAAGAGCAATCTTCAAACCTAATACTGTAGCCAACTTCCTGTCCTAAGCAAACATCCATTTCTTCGGATACGCGTTGGGCTACTGACATGGCCGCTACCCTTCTCGGCTGAGTACATGCCACACCTCTCTTCCCCTTAGTTCTTGAAAATTCCACACACCTACAATCCAATACATGTTTTTTTTAAATACTGAAGCAATATTACTTTCTTAGTTAACCTTTAGCAACTACGCACATCTGATACATGATCCAGCTGATTGCATCACACTAAATTGTTAACCAGGTGTTAAAGTCAAGCCAACAGCCCCATAGTATGGAGATTTAAATCCCCTAAATATTCCACTAGAGTTAATTAAATTTTCATTTCATTGCACTGAAACAAAGAAATTGGACACTAATTTTAAATAATTATGATCCAACAATAAGTGAAAGTCCTAAATCAACGTATAATGAAGAGGAAATGCCACTCGAAAATTAAAGATAAATACATACCACTGAGGTATCTGAGTTGTCTTTCCCGAACCAGTTTCACCAACTAGAACTATGCACTGATTCTCTTCCAGAAGTTTCATGAACTGGGCTCGATATTCCCACACTGGCAGTGTGACACGTTTGCGTAGAAATTCTTGATACCTAAAGATACAAGTCACATATAAAGTAACCAATAGTTGCCAGTTTCATTCTGAAAATATTACTAATATATCTATTACAACAGATATTGGTTATTTTATGACACATATTAACTGATACAGTTACACAGTGTCAAAATCAGATATGGTAGAATACCGTCAATAATGAAGTCTTTCTCTTACCGTGGTGTATACGGCAGACCTGTGAAGAGGTTTATTTGAAGGTTTTGCTTAGGATAGCTGGTCAAGGGAGTCCCCAGACTTGGAGGTATCTTCTTATCATCCTTGTCTCTGAAAAAGCATTGTACGTTGAATAAGAAATATTCTCAAAACAATATTTTTGAAAATAAAAATTATAATACACTTCAATCCCTTAATTAACCAGGATACATGGAATGTAAATAATCTACAGACATAAGCATCACACTAAATCAGAGTCAATAATCAAAAGGAACACAAATGACTTTCCATGATCACTTTAAATTGTGCAAAAATGGAAAATCAACTTAGGACTGTAATTATATGCCAAGATCCCGTGCAGTTCCCAAATCACACTTAGGTATATCACAACCTACCAAGCTGAAAACCTTAGGTCTAGAGTTTGTTGGGCCATTCAAACGTGTGTTAACATATTTTATATTTGACTTTGTCTTACATCAGTTTCAGATGATAAATGGCATGATAGCTTATGAGCAACAGTTAGTGGGCAGTGTAATGCTATGTGGAAATTAATCCAAACAATAGTTTTATTCAAAATTTGTATTTACCAGCCTCCCATACATTTTAACAAAAGCTCACCTCTCCTTAGTCCGATCTCTATCTCTATCATTCTCTCGATCACCGCTGAAAACAAACATAAGGACAAAATCATGATATTGTAAACATTAATTCGTTTTAGGTTAGGTAATATACAAAATCATTTAAAGTTACATTCAATTTACCTAATGCATGTCATTTTCTTAAAAAACATTTGACATATTTTAAACAGCAAAACAAAAATAAGTAATATATTTTTCGAGTAATTTTTCACAGAATAAACTACAAAAAAGAAAAGGTCGTAACAAGGTATATGAATACGTTTTTACTGCTCCACACACTCCAACAAGAAAATCTTTCAATTCATGGTTGCGCGCTAAAGGTAACCCATGCAACCCCCTTCGAAGAGCAGCTCTAAATAGCAAATAAGATTAATATTGCTTTACCTCCGTTTCTTTATATATGGATCAATAACTTCTATTCGACGCTTCGACATTTCAACAATACTAAGGAGCCTCTAATCGAAGAAATATTGCATAAACACTGCACCACAATTCCGACTCACTGACCGACTACCTTCACACTTGCAAGCTAAGCTTCAGCGGAACCGGTAATGACGACAGCCATTGTTATTCGACAAATACTACCATAGATAACTGGGCAACGCATTTCTGTTAAAAGCGTGTCAGTAGTCTTATTGAAAAACTAACATGACAAAGAAGGACATTTTTCTCAATCAAAATTGTTATCTGCGCAGTAAAAATTCATATTCATTTTTGACAAATGTTGCAGTAAGGTATATGACAACGCTTACGTCAGCTGTTCTAAACTACGAATGAAAGAACACCTCGAAAATTCAAGCCACATCAGGGGTAAAATTAGATATATTTCATATATTGTCAAACACGGAATAAAGTATGTTTGAAATGAATAACCCTTGCATGAATGTAATGTTTTTGTAATACACGTAGATTCAGATATGATTAAAGTCCTGTTGAAAAGCAGTATATTAAAGCTTCTCTCAGCGACCACAGGGTACGGCGACTGAAAAGGTTAAGAAACGCTGGTCTGAATGTACAGATCATTTCAAACAAACCAACTTGTTGCATCTGGATAACTTATCAACCCAACTGAAAATTTGACACCAAATATTAAGAATAACAAAATTGCATATTGGCTCATTCATTGCCCTGATGATGGAGGCAGTATGACCTCTCAAACGTTGGTGGACATCTAATATACTACATGGGGCAACAACCCAGAAGACAGCAATCTTCATACCCACTGCTGTGAAAACCTCAAATCCTACATTTATTTAGTTTTGGAGCAAACTGAAGTTGCAATCATTCTGTGTAGAATATTTTATCTTCAGGTCTCAAACGTAAAACTGTAAAGATTAAATTTATACAAGGACAAGGAAAGCCAACATAGACCCTTGGCACATGACCTTGCCAGGCCCCTTTCCTCAAATAAAATATATTTTAAGTAACAAGATACAAAGGTTGACTTGCACATAATGTACAATACAACAGGTATTACGCTTTATATTACTTGCAAAAGAACTCTCAAAAACACTTTCATTCAATACAAAACTATTTAAACAGTATGTACAAAAACTTTAAAGTAAATATATATTAAAAAGAAATTTGGTTAGAAATGTGCTTTTCTTGGTTAAATCCATCATTATGCTGAAATCATGAAGCATTGTACAAATATACAAAAAATATTGTGTGCCCTTTACAATAAAATTAACATTCGTGGAATATTCTGTGACCCTTTTAAAACATTTTATTATGTGAATCACATTATTTTTAAAACTAACATTCTGTGGTATTCAAAATAAAGTTGGAAAAGATCTATTTTAAGTCATATCTTCTGAAAGAAAACAATGTAGGAATCCAATTCCCAGATTCAAATTATTACAATTATTCCATCTCAGGCACTGTAAAACATGGGAGTTCCTCAACATGCAATACTATATATGTATTTATTTATCTGTGGTTTAATAACACCAGTTACACAGACTACATAGCATTAAATGATAAAACAAATAATTAATGATGAAGTGGTGAGTTGTGGCCTGAATTAAGGTACTACCTGACACTTTCCTGAAAGAACTAAGGAAAAAAAAAATATATATATCCAGACACAATGGACAGTTTTAGGGTCAAGATTTTAAGTGGGGCCTCCTACATATGAAGATGAACAGCTAACCACTCGACTGTGATGTTCAGTCCATATATGGTATATATTTACCCTCAATTCGAAGAATTAGAACTCATTGACATTCCACAGATCCTTCAATTTGCAAGAGAAGTCAAAATATAGAACTTATCATATACACTTCAAATAAATATAAATGTATTTTTGGTTGTTACAGCTAGATGCAGCTGCCTGATTTAATCTTCTTATATGGCTCTCCGGTCCGTATTCGGTCCATGGTCTCCTCAATTCTCCTCTTCCAATCGGTCCTCTGTTAGGTCCGTCTGTCCGAGGCTTTGATCGAAGTTTCAAAATATGTTCCTTTTTATGGTGCAAGGTTTATTAGCCTTGCAACCAACCCCCAACCTGGAGGACCAGGGTACCTGTCTTAGTCTGACCTCTCCCCCTCGACCATTCTGGCGAAGGAGGCCCTACCAGTAGCTATGCTACCGCCAGCATAGCTCTTGGGATCACTAAGGTACTCTAGCCCCACCACCACGACAAGGTGCAGGTATCACCAGAGGTAAAACCTGAATGGAAATCAAATTCAGTGTTGATTTGCTTGTGACTTTCATGTCCTCACTTAGTCAAAAGTGGTGGCACAAGTGACAATTATCTTGTAAGTCCTTGTTTCAGTAAGTAATCCTGGTCCCGCATCCACAGCCGCTCACATATGACGTTAAGCAATAAAGCTACTTCATGCACTTCACTGTCACTTCTGCTTCCTGACCACGTGTTATCTATCTTGAGAACAGGAACTTGCCACTTTAGTTCAAATTCTTTAACATCTGCAGAGGAGACATCCAATTTGTTGGTTGGGTTATATCTATAAGAACAAAAATGAAGGTAAATTTACCCATGTCTAAGCACCAAGCTATGAAGGGGCAATGAGGCACAGCTCTGTGCATTATAGAATTTTTCACCAGATGGAGGTGAATGTTAGCTTCATACTCTAGTCGCCTTACTCCTGGATAACCAACGAACTCCACAGAGCTGAGTCCATCTTAAGAAGCCTACACTATTCTCAGCTAATCAAGAAATTCCCTACTTTTCATAGAACCTGAATGATCATTAACTTATTCATAAAAGCCTTCCACTATCCTTATTCTGAGCCAACTGAATCCAATCCACAGCTGCCAACCCTGTTTCATTAACCTCCAATTTATTATTATCCTCCCATCAATGCCTAGGTCTTTCAAGTAATCACTTCTCTTCAAATTTTCCAACAAAATTTTTATACACATTTATCATTTCTATCATATGTGCTATGTGCCTCATCCATATCATCCTTGATCTCATCATAAAAATATTTGGTGAGTATAAATTATTTAAATCATGGCAGAGAAAAATAAACTTTTCATAATGTAGTCATTACTGTGAGAAAGAAGCAAAAGTTATAAGCTAATTAAGAAGGAAATTTTCAAACACGACAGGCAGATCACTGGTAATGACATGCCTGTGGTACTGACCATCATTCAGATTTCTCAAACAGTTCAAAAGCGATAAAAAGGTAAATGATTTTTTGGCTGGCATTTAGAAACACATAACAGCTCATGGGTTAAGCAATTTATCTACTCAGACAATATGATCCTACAGAAATATTATATTACTGGAAAGTGGTACAAAATGCACGTCATGTACATATTATACAGTTCATGTGAAACTTAATACCGTACCTTGTTCCAATAACAATATTAGTTGGGTTTTCTCCTGTCTGTGACATTCTGTTCATTTGTTGGGGTAATTCTGCAAAGGTATTATTGTCCAAGAAGGAGAAAACATATACGATGGCATCAGCTTTGTCTTTGCAGGCCTGAGACAGATAAAAACATTATAGTAGAAACCAGAGATCTGTCATGGTATATTTGAATTCTAACACTTCATGCACAGAATGCTCTGGAAGGTCCAATTTCCTACTACTGTTGCTTGAATGAATGGTGATACTTACACCTTGAGAGAGATTTATCACACTTTAACATAATTTTATACCAGTATTGAGCTGTATCATAGGGAAGTAGCATTTGCAGTTCTCTCAGAAGTACAGAGGAATCTTCAGCAACACAAGCACCTCTACAAAACTATAAAATCAATAAATATCTTCATAATTTACTTGTGTTACAGTACCGGTAGAATATGGCTGAATCTCTTGATGCTATTGTCACCAGCATCCCAGAAATGTAGTTTAAATAAGATTATTTTGTCCCAAATCTTAGCAGGCCAAAATATATTAGTTTTCTGTATGCCTGCTGTCTCTGTATATGTACTTGGGCATTTGATGCCAGACAGACGTGCTACTGTAGCTGTTTTTCCAACACTGGATCTTCCAGTAATATGCAACTTGTAAGATACTTCTTCAATGCTAGATGGCAGACCAGGTCTATCTAATACACCTGAAAAATATGAAACTTTTAATATCTCAGATTAAGCTAAGATTATGATAAGAACTAATAATGATCAACAGAGAATTGGACATTGCAATTGGATAATTTAAATTGGTACTATAATCTAAAACAGGAATTGTTTATCTCAGTTCAAGTCCTGGCAAAACGTTGGTCCTAAGTTAGAAATACATAATAATAACGGTGAGCAAGTATTGTACAAGCAGCAGAGCATTAGAAAATGTCACCAAATAATCCTTTGACAAATGAGCCTTTTTAGAATGCTAACTCCGCTGTGAAATTCTGTAACGGGCAGTACAGCCTATACTTGCCAGATTTGACATTTCAGGTCACAAAAAATACATACCGAAAACTTTTCTTCCTGTGGTCTGAGGATCATAAAAGTGCTGCAATATAGTTTCCCCTTCTGCTGAACGTTGCCAATCTAGAGACACAATACTACCTAAATTCATGTTGACAAATATTTCAAAACAAACTAAATTCGTACAAGGATTACCAACAAAAGCTTCATGGTCGTAATCATAGCTTTTTTATGAGGTGAGATATTCAATTCTCCTGCCATCTGTACGAAATTGTAGAACTTTCAGTGGTATAGCCAGTGTGGAAACTTATATTTGTTTTCTAATTCTTTATCAACCATTACTTATGTTTTCAGAGGGAGTCCATAGATTTTTGAGGTACGTAATCACATAAATATTAAGAATCACGAATACTACAGATGACCTAATGAATTCCCACGTTGTCAACGTGTGTGATCCCTGACCAATGCTCCCTATAACCTACAACTACAGGAACTCCTTAATTGTAGTTGATTAGTTAGTGGCTAATATTTACGATAATAATGTGATAATAATCCCGTACAAGCCATGCACCATATAATAGTTTTGATAGCACATCTGTTTAGGTTATGTACTTTAAAAAAGTAAAGTAAAGTTCCCACTATATGCCATGTAGGCGTTTGGGTGAGTGGAGGTATAGCTCCTCTCTTCCTTGACCTCGGCACTAGATGTGGGTGAGTGGTCAGCATCACGCCCCGGCCGGCTTTACCCCCGGGAAAGGACCCCGGTACCCATTGTAGAGGAGGCTGGGTGGGCCCCAGAGCCGGTCTGGACGCAGAGGAAAAACCCTCTCCCCCCGCCGGGGATCGAACCCCGGTCGTCCAGCCCGTAGCTAGTCACTATACTGACTGAGCTATCCCGTCTCACCCGTCCAGCCCGTAGCTAGTCACTATACTGACTGAGCTATCCCGTCTCACCCGTCCAGCCCGTAGCTAGTCACTATACTGACTGAGGTATGGGTTATGTACTTTACTCCACTGTAATTTGCTATTATATTAAAATATAAGGCATTTTTTGAACACACCCCATAAGGAGAATAATGGAAGAGACAGGGATTAGGAAAACACAATTCATTTTTTATTTAAAAAAACACAGCATGCTTGAAAGGGCATCAGCAATTATTCTTCAAATATTTTGGTAAGAAAATGTGTTACAATTCTGCAAAATGCACCTGACACTCTTTGTCAATATACTTTAGTTACTAGAGTTTGCAGCTGTAGCCATGACATTAATTCTTACATAATACATATGACTTATTCTACATCCTATTGTCATCTGACTAACTTATGGATCCATGGAATGTAATAAAGATGTATGTATGTATGTACATGATGATTAGAAATAATGTAGGCAGAATAGACCTATTACAACCACACTCTTCCTTAACAGTGAGTAATATACCAAATATGTTCTGTTAAATATTTGTGTCTTCATGTCTATTACAGGTGAACCATCAAAGTACTATTTATCATTGATGAAAGACTCCCGGGTTACAAGCCGCATCAGGTGGTTGAACGGTGAATAAACCATACTTCTACCAACGTTTCGAGGAAAATCTCTGCTGTCGTCCTTAGGGCTACTTGGTAACCAGTCCGATCCTTTGTTATGCATAGATAACTAATTCGCTGTTGGATCAGATTCATTTTTCAGAAGCTTTGTCACTGTCTTGAAATTCTTTGCCTCTTATGTATCTGAAGGCTCATTACTGTGTTCACAAGAGCCCACCAGTGGATCCAATCAAAAAATTAAGCCAGTGCATAAATATGATGTATGCAGTTTATTTTCTTGCTTAATTCCATAATGCAGACCTTGCCAATTTAGCTGATTTTGAATCAAACATGTAGTAATGATTTCTGTAGGAACATAATCTGAAACATGACAGTATATACATGATACAGAACTGCGTGTGATTTTAAATTCTGTACATATCTTTCTCTTTCCAGCAGAGATGAAAATGAATGTTGACCTGAAGAGTGATTCTTCACATGAAATAGGACTTGATGCGTGTGACCATATCAATGACAGTGATGATAATTATGATAACAGTGATGATTATGTTGATGAAGAAGAAGAAGATGAACCAGAGGATGGTACAAATGACAGTGATGGCAGTAATATCTTGGATGTAACACCAAGTGACATGCAAATTAACCACAACTCTTCAACACTTCATGATATATCCAAAATCCGCTGGCCACCTGGCTCTTGGCAAGATGGCAACAGAAGGAGCGCCTTCCAACCATACAGGGTAGGTAGTGTCCTCAGAGACGTACATCCGTGCCAAATGTAGTGATACAAGAAAAATATATTTTTTGTTAACGCCAACTTAATAAATGAGCAGAACTTTTATTCAGGAGTTCAATCTTTGACTGAGTCACCACGAGCACTTTGTTTTTCTACATTATCCGCAAGAAAATGCCGAAACAGTGCATACCAACAGATCGTGGACAATCTTTCTAAATCCTTGTGTGTGTTTACATTTATCCTTTAGATGAATTACTTTGAATATGTTTGGTTATTTTACGCAGCCAACCATGGTGCTGACTAATTTGCAACGTGGAAACATTCCAACCGAAACGCCTGCGCCAGAACAAACCGATGTCAGCCTACACCATCGCGCCGGTCTAGGTGAGATTACTGAACAGGATATAGAACAAGGTACGAAAATATCGCAGTTGTTTAGTACAGGGTTTTACAGATTAAGTATAATTTATTTTGAACAAAGGTTTTTGTATCAGCGGAAACAGGAACTCGGTGTTTTTCTAACTTCATAGATGCCCGATATCAGCTCCATTAGTTCTGATGATGTACAAGTCGTGTAAGAACTTGTTATTTACATTTAATTACTGTAGTTCATTAACAGATTTAACATTTCACTGTAATATGTCTGTAGGAATTACATCAGGAGATCGCGGATCGTTGGTTCAGGGCGTCCGCAACAAACCCATCTTTTACGAACCTTTTATATCCCATTAGAAGTGCCCCATATGGAGTTTTCTTAAATTAAATTACTACCAACCTCTGAGCGATACTTGACTCTACCGAGAAGACCTCGTAGTGCTTGGTGGTCAGTCATGTAGTTCTACCCAGGAGGCAGGAAGTGGAAGTTGCTATCAGCGAATGCACTGCATTATATCACCCATGAGCCCCCCCCAAAATACATCATCTCCAGGGGTAGTCATCTACTTAGTTAAAGTAGTAGCGGAAGTAAAAACCAACGATCCGTTAATGTTTGTAATCCACATTAACCCCTTGACCTAATAATAATAATACTACCATATTTTCTCGATTTTATCTGTATCGATTCTTACATGATCATGTGTGAGACGCCCCAATTTCAGGAAAAGTGTGTTTTAAAATTGAAATCAAAATTGAGGAAACATGGTAAATCAGAGTTTCTGGAACATCCTCACGTACGTCAACCTTTAGTCTAAAACTGAAATGAAAGTTATTCGTTCAACGTAAAACTAATGCGATATACGATGCGATTATTAATCCCACTCATAATTTTTTCGCCACTTTCTAGTGAAATTGGTATCACTGAGGGATAGAAACCTATTCACTATAATTCCCTCATCCTATTTCCTTTCTCTCTGTTAATGTTATATGATTTTTCGGCTTTGAACAGAATACAACATTGTCATTAGTGTGGCCACACATGCTCCGGCTTGCCGGAAGGTAAGCCTCAAACTTGAGAGAGTCGACACACATACAGACTTTGTGGCAGGTTTGCGCTCGGTCTTTTTATTCTTCAGTCGATGCTACAACATGTTCAGTGAAGACGACACGATTTTAATTGGTCTTGCTCTTACTTTAATGTCAAAAAATAAAAGAAAGCTGAAACGTTCTAAGTGGGTCAGAAGTTGGTTAGATGGATAAAAACATTCTCACATAAATTTGTTGAATGAAATGCGATTAGAGCCGACGGAGTGGCATAACTACCTGCGAATGGATGAGGACACGTATTTGGAACTGTTAAACTTAGTCAAACTACGAGGATTTGAAGTTCTCGGTGGCTGGTTGAGATGACTAAATGCTACAAGCCTTGCCTTTACCCTCATCTCTGCCCACACACGTTACGACTTGTAAACATCCAGTAAACCTCGAGGCAAAAAAATCAAGCAACTGCAGATTTATTGGAGGCTCGGTTTCCGGCCAAATTCAACGCACGCTCCAGTTTGCCAGAAGGCTGGCCTTCAGAGACGCAAACCTTCTGGTAAGCCGTAGCGTGTGTGGCCACCCTTAAAGATAGCAATGGTCTGTTGCAAGTGGATCAGTGCACGCGTAACATTTCTTAATTCTCGCCTGCTTCTTTCTTTGAGTAGAATATGACGTTGATGCGAAAGATGGCAACGGTCTAACCGCACTTATGTGGGCTAGTGCATACGGCCAAGTCCCTACAGTGCAACTTTTACTGAAACATGGAGCTCAGGTAGACTTTGAAGGCCCAGAAGGAGAGACTCCGCTGCTGCTAGCAGCGGCAGCTGGTCACCATGAAGTCGTCAGACTGTTACTTACAGAAGGTGCCACTGTGAACCACGGAGATGAGGTAAATGTCATGGCGCATGTATTGGTACCAGTTTTAACGCAGATTTGACCTTAGTGTGGCACAGCAGTGGTCATGTGCCTAAGTATTTTAGAGGTATCCAGTTTGGATTCTGGGTTGAGACTGCCTGTCTGCACGATGATTTCTCGTCCAAGGAGTCCTACCGAATGTCCATAGATCGAGCCATCTGAAAAAGTTGGGGATCCGTAAAGGGTACCGGAAAATGTACAAACATTGTTAAACCGGAAAAAGAAGAAGAATATTCCTAGTATAATCCAGTGCTAATAAGTTCAGCTGTTTATACAGCATCATAAGACAACCAAACCAGTCTATTTAGAATTGTGTTATGTATACTGGAATATGCGATACGTTTTAATAACTTCCTGTCTTTACCTCGGTTTTCTACGCAGAATCTTTTTTGTGAGGTTTCAAGACCAAAATTTTATATGCATTTTCATGTTGTATAAATACACGCACGAAGCACAATGTGTACTCTCTCTGGGGTAGTAAGAAAGGTGCGTCATACCCAGAGTAGGCAACCTTATCGGAGAGACGTCGAGTGTGTTTCCTTGGTTGTTTGTGTAAAACTTGGTTTCTGGTTTACTATCATAATGAAAGATCAAGTAAACATCTTTAGCAAAATTTTATTTTTTATTTGGCAAATCATTCCAGTTTTGAAGTTTAAACTTCTGAGCTATTTACACCTGTATAGAAATATTGTTATTCATTTACTGATTATATATGAGTGACTTTCTTACAGTCTAAGAGTAGTAATTAAACAATTTACTTTCATTGTCTATTATTGCAGATTGGTAATACTGCACTCATGTACGCAGCTCACGGTGACCATCCCCATTGTACGAATGAGTTGCTCCTGCATGGGGCTGACGTTACAATCGTAAACGTCAATGCTGATTCAGCGTTTGGCATTGCTATAAAGAGGGGAAACAAATTAGGTATTGTTTTACGTACAGCTCAGTCTTAACAAGTTCGTAAACAACGTTTAGAATGGACTGGAATGCCTGTCTCTATTTTTAGGTTTCAGTCCGTACTTTACTATATAGTAAGTCCTTATAGCCGCTCAGTGATAGGATCTTGGCACCTCAGTAGAGACTTGAATCTTCTCGGGGGTGTTAACGGCATGTAACTCCCGACAACTAGAAGCTGCTGTTATCGCCGAATATAATTTTTTTCTTTTTACACTATTTATTTATTTAAGAACAATACAGATGATGATATTTGGCTTTAGCCGCAAGATGACGATTTCAGAATTGTATCAGATTTGCGCGCGACTGTGTTCAAAGTTTGTTGAAGAGTCCTCCAAATCAACTCGCTGCCGTAAGCGTCTTGCCCCCAGTTTGAAACATTCAAAACCAGTGACGTATTCACTCGCATTCAGCTCTTGCGTCTAATCGGCTCTTAAGTTTCTCCCTCGCACTCTTTAATGCGTGGTCCAGTAACATTCGTCCACTGAGCGACAATGAACCGTAAAGTCCGAACTGACACCCAATTCACGACAATTTATTACCCATTAGTGTCGAAACCAAGACTTCCGGGAACCGAAGGTTCAAACACCACAAAAAGTTAACAATTTGAAAAGAAAACTTAAAACAAATTCAGATTAATAAAATAATAAAAAATTAAATAGAATCATTAAATTACCTCAGCAGAAGATGCAATTTGGACCGTTACAACCTGGAACACATTCTTTCGTTACATAAATTGGCAACTGCTGCCTCTATATTCTTGAAGAAATCTTGTTGGCAATGACGGAACAACTCAGCGTCAGGTAAGGTTTCAGAGAAGTTAGTGGTGGCTTCTTCAAATCAAAAAGTTGGCTCTCTACTTCACATCGTACACCACA